GTTAAAAAAATATATTTAAACAGAATGGTAGCAGTTCAGGGTCAGAGATTAAAACAGTACTAATGTGGAGCTACAGAGGCAGTACCTACAGAGTTTTATCTCCTTAACACAAACAACCGAGTTAATCTCATTTAACTTTACATCCCCTTTGACCTACAAATCACAATCATGATCTTAATGCTTAAATAAGACCCTCTTTATTAAGCGCTTTGGGGCTTTTTGTGAAGGGCGCTATATACAAATAAGACGAATTGCAATTGAATGTAACAATGAAGATGCCCCAGATTATGATACAGGCTGTGAGTGATGAATGGATTCTTAAACATTCTCTGGGAGTGTTTACCTGCTCACAGCAGATTCTTACTATCCGCATGAGACATACCAGCGACTGCCCCCTGCTTCATCCTGAAATTCACAGGACAGAATCAGTTTAAATTCTAAAACCTCCCAGATTCACATTGTAACTCTCAAAACTGGGGAAATCAAAAGATTAAATACAGGGCTCTCCAGCTAACATCCACTCCTGCAGAATCACTACAGCAGACATATTCCAACTGTGAGGCCACAGTCCATAGTCTTCGGGACATGCCTGCTGGCATCCTGGGGAAAAAAAATTAAAAATTTATCTTTCATATGAAAATATTAATTTTTTTCTAACGTTCTAAATAAAGTTGCCTAGCAGGGTTTTACTCCTTAAAAACACAGGAATTGGACAGATGACGGTGCCACGACAACCTGCCTGGGTATTTTAACGTCACTGTTCCCCCAAGGACACCTGGAAGAAGCCTTTGGGGGCTGTGCCTTTCCACAGCATGAGAGACTTCTCCATGCGACGCTAATCCGAGATTAAAGGGCCACGCTAAGGTGGATCCCTTCCAATTTCGACCAGGTTACAACCCGCATTTTACACTGCATGGGTCAGTTTCCTCCCTCCTGACTACCTCTGCCACAATTAGAGTCGCGAACGACCTCAGTCTTCAGCAGGCAGGAGGTGCCACAGATAGAAAGTACTGAAACTGCACACAGAGGGGAAGAACTGCGGTTTGCTGCCATTTTATTATTTAACTCAGGAGCTTGGATCTCTCTCTCTCTCACACACACACACACACTCCTGTCCTACAGTGGGTGGCAAAGCCCACCATCTCAACAAGAGACACACTGGAAGTCTCCTTCTAGAGGGTGAAAACCGACCCGCTGTGCCTAGGTTTAATAAACCGCCCTTGAGATTGTATTATTTCCAGGCCTATGCCCAGAGGTGCTGAAAGTAATGATAGCTCCTGGGAACAGAGTTCACTCATTTTCCAGTGTAAGGAATCTATCTCTGAGAGACAAATAGTCAATTTCTTAACAGCAAGACACTCTTTTTCCAGTGTGTTGGCGAGCAGCAATGCATTTTACAGTATGGAGAAAGCAAATAGCAAACTTTAAAATAATAACATTGTCCGATGCTTTTAACTGTGTGCAAATAAAGAAAAAGGTGGAAGTGAAATATAATAAATTATTTCTAAAAGCTGCTCCGCAGACCTGGGACCTGAACTTTAGGAAAGTTTCAGATGCCTTGGGTGCAAGAACAGGGTCCCGATGTGTCTTCCTGACAGGCTACATGTGCTTCCAACTGCACAGACATTGTAAAAGACTAATTATATCTGAGAGCATGCTTAACTGCAATAAATGGATTTGGGGGATCAGAGTGGAAGATAAGGGATCTCACGCCCATCTGTCAGGCCGACTCATCGAATAATTCTCCAAAGTCTGTGTTAACAGACACTTTTAATCATAAATGTATTAACACTATTCTTCCCACAAGCTGAAGATATTCTTATTAGTGGAAAGGAAAACACGATACAGCTGAAAAGTTTTTGCAGGGCTGCAGATGATTACGGGGGGGGGGGGTCGCAGCCACCTGGAGAATTAGAGGGCATGCACATGACATCACAATAGGGGGAAATCACTGCAGTTACACTAACTGAGTGGCACAAAGACTGAGTGGCAGCATTATGCTCAGCTTGGACACTGGAAAAAATGCATCGAAATTGGGTGTAGGACCACCTATGGGGGGGGGCATGACACACCCCCATGGTTAAATTTGCTGAGAGGAGGAGGGATGCCCACGATAAAGTCTGCCAAGCCAGGGGTACAAAATGTATACAAAAATCCAGGAAGAATCACTAAACGATTTTAGAAAAACTATATTTCAGGGGGCCTGAAACAAAAAATAGGCGGCTGAAGATTTAGACCCCCTAAATAAGGTCTAGAATCAGCTGTGGTCAGTACCTAAAGACCCCCTAAATAAGGTCTAGAATCAGCTGTGGTCAGTACCTAAAGACCCCCTAAATAAGGTCTAGAATCAGCTGTGGTCAGTACCTAAAGACCCCCTAAATAAGGTCTAGAATCAGCTGTGGTCAGTACCTAAAGAGAGACTGTGTTTCCCAGTTGAGGTTCACCTACTTAAGACTGTCTGTAGATCCTGCCTCTTAAGGTCCAACAGCAAACCACACTGTGTCTCATGTGCACAAACAGAGGCCTGGGAGGGTTAGGGTTAGGGTTAGTGGCCATGTCACCGTCTCGCATTCTGGCACATCCTGTGAGCAGAGAAGAGCATTTTCAGATGCCGTTCTTCATTCCTAATCTGTCCCTTGGCCATGTCATTTAATCTCATTAATTGAATGCTTCAATAATTCTAAAAAGATTATAATTTAGAAAAGTGTCATTTTAAGGTCAGGGTTAAGTAAGGCCAATTATCTATTTGTCAAATATATAAAGCACCCATCTAATTTCTTTTTATTGAAATTGATTGCCTTGTAAAAACAAAGCCCAGATGGCTAATAAGATTTGTTTCTTTTGTGTAGAAAGAGGCAAGGCAAATGTTATTTAAAGGTACTGTATAATGCGGGATTACATCGGAGTCTACAACAACGTTCACAAATCTGACTTTCGCTTAAGACCAAACACAAGCTGGCGGGTTGGCCCAAAGTCTTGCTCACCATCAGGTCTAAGTGGAATTTGGGACTAAGTATGCTTTTATCTACACCAAAATCAGCTTATGCTCTTTGTTATATTGTAGCTCGTGGCTAATCTCAAATCTCATCTTGACAGATGACGCCTTATCATTGATGCACCAGTCACTGGAGCTTCAAAAGTAGCTGCGAGAGCAGGTGAGATGTGTAAAAAATGGAGACTGTTGCAGCAACGGAGCTAGAACCTTATGCACTACTGATGCATCGTCAACATGGAAAAAAAGACATGTTCTGGGTGGAGAATGTGAGGGAGGTGATGAGGTGGAGGAGAAAAGCTCAGCCCTTTGTCTTTACATGGCCGGGGGGGGGGGTGTTTAAGTGACCATTCGGTAAACAGAGAGATCCCTAGATCAAGGCATAACTCAGCAGATACCGTCCACCTCAAAGTTCACTACAAGATCTTCTATGGGTGAAAGAATGACTACCCAGAGGTGGATAAAATGACAGAAACACCACATGAAAAAAGCAAATACAGGTAGTCTACAGGTTATGAACAACTTCCCTAAATCGGTCTTTAAGTCGAATTTGTAGGTAAGCTGTAATACAGTACATAATAATAATTATTATAATTATACAGTACTAATAAAAGTATCCACACATGGTGCCGACGGACTGCTGAAACCGGGCAACATTTTCACGAGCGTCACAAAGAAGTGTGTGCGTTTATTACAAACCATTGTATATTACCCAAATTTCTAATGTAATATGCATTATGGCAGTCCATTTGTAAGTACGAGTTGTCAGACATTCGTAATCCGGGGATTGCCTGTAAATCACAATTATACAAAAGTGAATCATAAGAGGTTTACCAGCAGGAAGCAGTATGTGTCTGCTGTGAATGACGTCTGACAGTCATCACTTTGATATGTGAATTTTCAGAAACTGGGGGGAACTCATATTCCTAAGAGGCAAAACATTTGGTGTTCAATTTGCAGGTTCATAACAAAAAACTGCTCAATTTTTTAATATTTCAAGAGAAGTAGACTCAAAATCCCCGATAGCATGTGTCAAACAGAAAGATTGATCACGAGCTGAAGATTAGTGGCAGAAACGCATGGGCACTTCAATACATGGACAAGATAGTTACTAAATATCACAAAAGTGCAAAAACTGCCTCAAAATTTATGACAGAAGTGACTCGGCATCTCTGTGACCCAGTCTAAGTTAGAACTGCAAGTTTTGAGCTTCAAAGAATTGGAATTTAAAGCAGCGATGCCATTCGAAAACAACTTGTATCCAAGGCCAAAATATAGACTGGTATAAGGAGAACGAAAGCTGGAACCCTGAGCAATGGGAAAACTAATACTGTTTGATGAATCATCGTTGACTTTTTCCCTGCATTTGGATAGATTAACATTTGGAGAAGGCCATGGCTGGAGCAGCCATCTTGTGGGAGTCTTTAGGTGCAATAATTGTTCAGCAGGATCATATAATCACCAAGGCCATTTTACAAGAGCAGGTGCACTCTTACGATGCCAGCATTGTGCCCTCACGTCATTCCCAATTTTCAAATAGGTAACGTCCCTAAGCACACTGACAAACACATTAAAGAGTGATTTCATTAAGTCAAACCAGGAGGATGACAAATGCATTTGAACAGACCAAAATCTCCACACAGTTGCATAACAAGTCCAAACCGGGTTTAGAAATTATATTTTACACTGATTTATTTTTGAGGGCAAAAATTAAGTTGTCAAAAGCAATTCATTGATTCCTTGAAGCATCTGATGCTCTTCAAAATGATCCAATAGAAGATAAAATAATTCCTAAATAAATTGTAAAATGTCCAGTACCCGTTTTCTTGGCCAAGTCTTGTGACCATAGTTTTGCATAATGTAAATACACAACAGTCCCTTAAACATTTTACACTGATATTGCTGTTTTATAGGTCATTTCTGTTTGTGTCTAAAGACATTTTGTTTCATGTTCCAGGCAGCGAAAAGGCCATTTACAAGTCTTTGAGTCTAGATGACAGGGACTCACCCAGACAAACCAGGCAGGGACAGGCAACCCTTTGGGCGTTGAGAGTGTCACCCAGTCAGGCCACGACCGGTCTCCCCGATCAAACTCCATTATCCCTCTTCTAAACGCCGTCGCCATTGGCCCAAGACTCTCCTTTTCACCCTTGACTCAGGCAGACAGGAAATGGATTTGAGCGGCGAGATGAGGATCCGTTTGGAAAGGCTGACTGCTCTTTTTGCCTTCGTGCTCCCAGGGCAGCTATCAAAACTTCCACCCGCTTCCATCTGAGGGAGGTCATCTGCGCGGCGTGGCTGTCAGGCCAGCCGTCCACGGCGCTGGGCACTTGACACAATCGCCAGTCTGACGGGAAATATGTTTGCGACAATTGGCAAGCCAGTGGCAACTGAGTGACTGAATCTACGACATGACATAAAGCACCACCACGACACCCCCCTCCATGCGTGAGGTAACCATAAACTTTTCCATATGTGTTGCAAGTTCTCAACTGTTTACATCCAGCTCACTTTCATTACACATATATTACATATGTGCACTTGGTCATTGCCATTACTTCCATAGATTTTTGCAAGTAAAAAATATATATAAAAAAACTGACTGTCACGTATTCAGCCCGGGAGCACCGCTTTAGACAAATTGAAGCAGTAATGCAATGAGATCAATCATAGTGAGAAAGTCGGACAGTGCATTGGTTCCGACAACGAACTGCTACAAGCACCGGCATATTGAAATAAACAGCTCCCGCTTTCATAAAGATGTATGAAAATGTCTTAAAAGAGCGATTGCTCAAATTTAATTCAATGCCCCCAAGTACATTAACCTCTACTCCGATTTCAAGGTTATTCAAACAGCAATGGGCACATTTAAGGCTTTTAATTCAAATGAAAGCCAAAACGATGTTTTTTGATGGATTGGTTTTATGCGTTAGGCCGCTATTGTGATTTTATGCAACACGGCCAGCGTATTTAAATTGGGCTGCAGACTTCCTTCACCCTCATAAGGTGAATTAAAATGACTTTCCCCACTTCGTTCCTCAGAAGTGCGGCTCGACGCTGGAAACGGAGCCGAAAAGCCCCTCGACAGCAGAAGAGGAGCGGGAAAAATGAGGGAGGAAGGGCGGGCAGCAAGCTGGGGGCCAGCAGCGCGTCTCGCCGCCCCCCAAAGGCTCCTCACTGCCGCCTTCGCTACATATCAATTAAACGCGGAGCGGCTGATTCCCTCCCTGCGCGCACAGATCATGTCGGATTGCGTGAGAATTGCTCTTTCAGTGTTTCTCCCCAAGAAAAAGGAGAACTGCTGGCCAGTATTGAATGAGTCAGTATCGTACACGGATTGAAATTTACCTTTATCGTTTAGACAAGGTACTGTTTTTTCAAAATATCCTCGGCAGACTGACAACACGTTTAACATATAATTACGTTTTTAAGATGTGTGTATGCACATTTTCAGTGCAAACGGCAACAAAATATAGATAATGACCCAACGCTATGTAAAGTTTTTCGCTGTTGTTTTAGTCGAATTTTCTCTAAGCTTGTGTTGTCACAGAAGCGGTTTTATAATTGACCTTTGAACAGCACAACAGACCAGTACGTACCGTAACCCAGTAGTGTCTGTGAATGGCGTGCGACAGCGCGTCTGCGCCGACCGCACCGTGAAAATCAATACAGCAACGGGGCGAAATCCAAATAGAGTTATTTACCGCTGATTCAGTAAAGTGCCACATTTGACCACAACAGTAATACAACTGGCACTCTCCGGTTTTTATATTCAACATGCTTTAATGCACTAAAGCCAGAGAATAATGAATAATCATTAGCAAAAGGTCTACAAATTATTGATGTAAAATAAGCAATGATTTTTTTGCCTGGCAATTTATTGCCATTAACAAGTAACTTGCAATCCAATAAATGCCACAATGGCTTTCATTTAATTAAAAGAATAGATATTATATAGTAATGCAGGGTGGCATTTATATCTCAATTTCTGTGCAGTGCAATTTACGGTTGATCCTTTATTTGAAAGGAACCACAAATAATGGCCATTAAACTGTCATGGAATAGACACAAGATCACATTAATGAAATTAGATAAGGGAACCAATGATATACACCGCTCCTCTGCCAAGGAAATGCAGGCATGGAATTGGTCGGGACCAGCTGAAAACTGGTTCTCATTGCCACATAAATAATAGCATCCCGAGGAATAAAGAATGACGAAGGACCTCGGGTGCCCATAATGCAGGTGCTTGGCTAAAGTGGAACAGGTCATGTAAATGGGACTGGGCGGGGCTAGTAACCTGGGCGACAGTAAATCCATTCCCGCGAGCAACCTTTTTAAAACGGATGTTTTTCATAAACCTACAAATCACTTCACTGGCTTCTCGCGCCATTCGGCTGTCCCGAACTGCAGCGTCTCCATATCAGTTTATGTCAGTCACTTTGGTGTAAGTTTTGAAATAATGCTGTTTGTTTTTATTTGAATACATTATCGGCAAAAATTCAAGTATAAATTTTGTGAATATGCATAATACTGATTTATTATGCGAGTTTTTGTTTAGTATTTCTATCACGATACTAAGATATTAAGAAAAAAAAACTGAGTAACCAATAGCAGTATCACCACGACACTGGCTTTGTCAGCATCTGCATTTTACAGTATTGAAAACACTTGATATTTCCACTAAAGTAACAAGATACTATCATAGATCAGAGCCGGAATATTATTATATTATTACTTCAGGTGCAGCCTTATTGTCTGTGGTAATATACCAAGAATGTTGGTGAGAGTGCGACAGTATTTGAGCGGTTACGTAAGAGGAGCTGGACGGCGGTGAAGGTCCGCCCCTGTCACTCAGGGGACCTGCATGCAGACTCATGCCCTTGGCGGCTCGCGACAGCTGGGGTTTAAATTAGCAACCAGCCGGGCCTCTCTGAAGGCATCCTGGAGCCCAGCTGCGCCCGGGCCTGTCACCCTCGTCAGGGAAAGTTTTCTGCGCAAAGCTCTTCCGTGGCACGGCACACAGTCCCGGTGACGGGGACGTGTCACTCGGAGGGCTGGCCGTGGCGGATCGTGATGACTTGTCTGCGACGTGGGGCTGGGCCCTCCCGGCTATGGCTGTCACTGGCTGCATCCGGAGACGTGTGCTGGGATGTGGTGCTGGCAGCATGGACAGACAGATAGGGGAAGCCTGGACCCTCACGCATGGGGCACAGGGGCTGGGAAGGGGGGTAGAGGCAGGGGTCATGGATGTGTACAGTAATTTCAGTCCAGTCTAATTATGAAATGTTTTTAAAACTCAAGCTATGGAACTTGCAAGACTGGAGGTTTGAAAAAGTGGATTCAGACCAAAAACACAGCAATAGCTTTTTGTAAAAAAAAAAAGGAATAATCAGGTTAGCAGAGATATAAACACGATAGTTGGTGCAAAGTGAAACAAAAATAAAACACAGATTTATATTTGTCAGATTGCCTTGACTTGAAGTACCATGCCACACTAAAACGAGTCCAAAACTTCAGGTGTATTTTTTTATATTTCTATAGCATTCACAGGTATCTCTGCAAGGCTTATACACCCAGCAGAGGTAGGGTTCGAATCTCTAACCCTGAAACCATGAAGTCACCCACATACCCACAAAATATTGCAGTTAAATAATCCACACACATACATGGTTCAAACTGGTAAATAACATTTGTTCTGGTAAATAGGAAATTAAAAAAATATATTTTAAAATTATGGCAGAAGTTAAAATATCATGGCAAAAGCAATTTAGACAAATGAGTTTAACCTCATGCACAGGGCTGCTCATAGCTACTCTTACAGATAGGTCCATTCATCCATCTTCCATGACCCCTTATCCAGTGCAAGGTCACGCAGAGCCAGGGGACAGGACAGAAGAGAATGACTGGTTGGGTGCATCAATTCAGCTAAAAACAATCATTCCCAATCCCCTGTGTCTTTTTCCTGTTATTCCTCCTTCACTGTTTTTGAGAAACCACATTTATTTGGAATATCGTTTTCCAAGATTATGCAAACCAGTCCTGCAGACAAATATTCTGGAGGCATCATATTCCCCGAATTTTCATTCTGCTCCGGGCTGCTGCCTTACTGGTGTCATGTGCATCCTTTAGGTTCTGCTCCAGCTTGGTGGGCCTTGGAATCATCTTCATGTGCTTCAGTGCTTCTCCCGGGTTTAATATGCAGCCTTGGTATCTCCTCTGCCTCAAGATATATGAGAAATATCATAATTAAACCCTCAGAATTTGGAATCAGTTTCGCAGACACTTTGGTATGCAAATATCCCCATCACTGATGCACCTTCGCAAAAACCTTCTATTCCTACGGCCTCTACATGACGGGTTATTTGAAATCTGGTTCAAGAAAAACATTATTAAAGAGTCTGAGGGCCTGTTCTCTGATGGTGCCTTTGCCTCATTCCCAAAATAAGCGAGAGATTTGAACTTTCCAGCCTTTTTTTTTAGGTGTCTTCAAGTATGTGACTTTTCTTGGAAAATATTTGTTGGTTCCCCTGGTGTAATCTCCTGCTAACACACTCCTTAGAGGAGTCTGGGGCACAGTCTTAAGAGCGCGGTCTCCCGACTATATACCAGATTTGTCGTTCTTGGCCATCCTTCACACCTGACGGTGAAAAGTTTATGAGCCTGACATTTTGGGTGAACTGACAGAGGTACCGTGTGACACTCCAGTGGAAGCTAAACATGGAGATGTTCTTTGTAAATCACTCTATTAGGTGTCGCCATGCCTGTACCATTCAGGACACTGAGGTCAAGTCCTCAGTATTTTTTCTGCAATTCCAATAGCCACAATCCATTATAGGACAGACCTAGGAAGGGATAACACTTTTGACCTGGGTATTTAAAAAAAATCCTGGCTACAGCCCTACGTGTCGCTTACATGATTCAGAATTGATGTGACATGTGCCCGGTTTTCTCTCATATTTCTTTTCTTTACAGCATTTTTACTAGATCTCCATTTTTACCACATTGTTGGCTAATCCCCCTCTGATTTCACTTTCTTGACAAAATATGTTTGACTGAAGATATTATGTTTTTGGATTTCTTGCCCTTACTACTACATATCCCACTACAATACATATTATCACATTAATACACATTTATTAATCTAGAAAATACCTCATCTGTCTACAAGCACACCAGACTGAATAAGATTTATTTCTATTTCTGAGAAGGAATATCAGTAACACTTATTTCTATGTTAAGTGAAACCCTCAAAATTATAACCGCCGTCTGGTCATGACTGACTATCAAGGGTTACTACTGTATTGTTACACAGACCTACACTAATATCTGGCAGTATCTGGCAGTCTTATATTGCAGACTGTGTTTTTTCCTTATTCATTATAACATTTTAATTCTTATTCTGAGTTTTTAAGCTTAAATCATTTTTTCGTTTCTTTTTTTCCCCAGTGTGTCATCTTTTGGTAACAATATCCTTTAAGTGATGCCCCTCTTTAATAGTTTAATAATGTTTTCACAGCCACTCAGGTTGACAGCTTTCCATTTCAGGAAAACAGACATAATTTAAATTGTGTTTGTTATATTCTTTTAGAAAACAATAAGGTGTTTAGAGGCCTCTGGCCCAGCCAATAACGTTAGAAAATTGTCTACATCCTAAGTCAACACTGACACCCAGTGGTCGTAGTTAGGATAAGAATGAAAGAATTCTCTCAACTCACTCTGTCCCATTTTACCAGTCTTTAGTCCTTTAGAACTATAAGAATTATTTGTGTAGATTTAACCCTGAGCTCAAAAGGTCAAATGTCAGCTACCACTAACTGCAGCAGAAGATTATCTTATCTTTTGAAAATAAACAATCAGGAATGACACCATTAAAGGGGAAAGGGCATAGATTGGTGTATGGATGGTAGGGACATGTCTCTAACAATATTGTGGCTGTACTGTGTGTGTTTAGGGGGGCAGGAGACCAAACCTATTCCACTGATTAGTGGTACAGTAAATGGCAAGAATGGTTCAATGGGTCCAGGCGTGGACAGGAGCCTCGTAGCATTCCAGCGATCTGGGGGTAAAGGCACAGGGCAAGTTTTTATCAGAGGTTCCAGGATTTCTGGCCTTGCCCCAAGACACCATTATTACCCTTAAGTCCTTTCTAAGGTGGTGGGAGGGGGGCCTGTACCTTCAACTCAGACCAAATTTGGAACAGGGCAAGAGGTTCGTATGACTAGAATAACCATGTATCATAAGGTAGGTTCATAAAAGGAAAATGGAAATACACACTGCTGCTGAATTCATTATCAAGTTTCTCAACTTGCCAACTCGTCTCAGATACATTAGGGGATCCTAAGTTAGCCCACTGGCCAGACTTCAAGCAAACATTATTATTAAACCCTGTCATAAATACATACAAACACACTGTGGTTCATTGTATATACTCTAGTAAATAAATTAATAAATAACAGCAGATAACTGATATGTTATTAAAAATATATAATGGTCATATATGAAAAAATATTATATAATATTTAAATATGTAATTGTTTTCAACGGTCTAGGCAGAACTAACAAAACACACTGTTTTCTATAGCAAATGCTTTGATGTTTGGCAAAATAAGTAGGATATATTTTCACTGCATCCACACAAATACGTACATGGTTGTGTCCTGGAAATGTTTAACTTCTTAATGTCCTTAGTGACTGGAGAGTAGAACTGCACTTCTGAATCATCTCAGTCCAGCACAGAAGTCCACACTGCAGCAAGGGCTGTTCTGCATCTGTCACACTTGCAGCTGGACATTCAGTCAGCTGAAGCTACAGGCTGAGTATTAGATGATGAGGGTGAACAGCCAGAGAACAGATCTGAACAAGGCAGGCTGGCAAAAAGAGAAAGGAGAAAAGAGGAGAGGTCTCTTCAAATCCACAGGTCATTCTTTTGGTTCCGTTGCACTGCCACCAAGGCGAGATCTCCATTGTGCAGTTCTGCCCATCCAGCTTCTTTTATGCAATAAAGAGGAACAAAATTCCATCTGTACATCAGAGCTGCATGAGTTCAGCAAAATCAATATAATAGTGCTTGTGTAGATGGAAAATGGGTATTGCTTTTAGAATTTTAATATCTATATGTATTTACAAAAAAGAAAAACATGCAAGGTTATTCAACAGACAGCACACTGAAGAAACATTACCTCCTGGGGAAGCGCATTTAAATAACTATCAGGATAAGTGACTGAGTAGGCAGCAAGAACATGTATTACACAGGCAAATAAAATAAATACGTGGATAAAAAACGATTATTTACATAATGAAACGGGTATCTGCATGGATCATGTTTACAGTGTTATTAACCAATAATGCCCTTTAAGATATTGTAGTATGGCTGTATATAATTTATGCTTTTGAATTTAACTTTATTTTAGATGCTGTTGGATTTGAAGCAGTGCGTGGTTTAAATCCAGGCCTACCTCTCCGGTATTGACAATGCCACGTTGGTTTAACTTCTGCAGTTTCCTTTCTGGATCCGCTTAACGTTGTACATTGATTCTTGCCACATGCTCATTGGCAGGACTAATTTATTTATGAACTTGTCATTCCAAATTATTGATTAAGAGGTCCTTCATTAAAGATTTAATTATATGCAAAGATAAAAGACAATAATTAGCAAATCTTTTATCTAATTGAGGCTTTGTACTACAGGAGAAAAGTTCACAGGTCCTAAGACTACTGCCTCCAGAACAATGAGGGCCTCCATGAGAATTTAATTAGAATGAGTAATAGGACAAGTGATGGCAAGAGCCAAGACGACTTGGGATCATTAGCTGTTCAATAGGTTGCCCCTTGCTGTAAGCTGTTGCCCTTCGTTTTGTCCCATATTTTTCAGTGTCTCAAAATTTAAAACCAAGCAAATGCATAGATTTACAAAGATTCACAAACGATTAAAGCGTATTGCCTTCAAGGCAATGTTTCCTATCGCAGTCCTCGGAGACCAACAGAGCATGCAGGTTTTTGCTCCCTCCCAGCTCCCGGGAGCAAAAATGTGGACTGTTTGCAGGTCTCTGTGGACCGGGTTGGGAAACACTGCTTTAAGTAAAGCACAAATTCAGTAATGCCCAGAAAAACAGGAAGCCTCCATATAGTCAAGGTCTTTTCCTTTTTAAAAAAACTATTTTTCTTTGTGACGGGCTTTTGATATTAGGGAAACCAGGGGAACACTCCCACTTCTAAAACGCGGCTGCAAAATGTGTAAGAGTATCTCAAAATAACTGGAGGAAAGTGGGTTCTACAATAGTCAGCTCTCATGTCGACCTAGAGGTAATAAGGTGAGAGGAGAAAATAGCACAGTCATATTACATGGAGTTTATATCAATGTCACTTTAATTAGAAATGCATTTCTTGATCTTATTTTAAATGTACAATCCATAGCCCATGGATAAAAAACAGCCGACCTCAGTGAAGTCGCAGGATTTCCCTGGAACCAGATGGTAATACTGAATGCTGGACTCCACAGAATTATAATTGCATGTATTTACAGGTCTGTCGACTCAGCTCCCATTGCAGGCAGTTGAGGTAACATCCAACTGAGCTGCATCGTGACATTTTCCCCGAGCACGATTAAATGAGGTGACACACTATTACAGGTGTTCTTACAGGGTCAGGCTACGTTTTGGAACCAGAGGCCAATGTGAGGCATCTGCACCCAGTACTACTGCTCATGGAAGGTTCAGTATTAAAAGCAAGTACACAGTTTTGAGCTGCATTGTTCTAATAGCTTGGGTTGGTGATGTTGAGAAATGTTGCGCTTGATGTTATGAAATGTACCTTTGGTGACTGTCAGCTGTCATGCTTCAGGATGCACAGATCTGGTGAGCTTCAAACAGCGGTGATCACAAATAGTGAACGGACACAAAACATTTTCCATTTCTATATATTTTTTTTGTTGTAGATCTATGCGTAATTCGCATGTGTTCCTCTAAAGGGTCTCTCCATTATTGAAGTCAATAAAGGAGCAATATAAGGATGGGTATGAGTTTGCACCAATCACTGAGCAGAGCTGTTGCTTTATAGTTAGGGGTGGGGGGCAGGTGGGGGGGGGGGGGTTGAGTCCCACCTATTCTCATCATGTGTGTGGAGTTTGCATGTTCTCTCCGTGTTGTGGGGCTTTTCATCAAGGGTTCCAGTTTCTTACCAGAAGCCCGAAACATGCAGCTGAGGCAACTGGCGTTCCTAAAAAAACTAACCTTCCTGCAGCGTGTCACTGAGCGTGTGTGTGCATGTGTTTTGATATTGCTGCAGGTCACATGTTTGGCACTTTAGTCTGTGTTTCTGTCCTGTATTTGGCGTTGTCCCCTCTCACTTCCGGCCTGCCACTGGCTCCTGGGAGTTTAACTTATGTAAAAATGTTCTGAGGGCAGAAAGAAAAATGATTGGTTCAGATTGTAGAGGAAGTGGGTCCAAGAAACTAAAGGAGGGGCCAAGACATCTGATTGGCTGGTCCCATCTCCTCTAGTTGCTTGGAACCACCACTCCCATGAGCGTACCACTGGCAAATGGATACCCTGCGTCTTCAGGATAGCTAAACATTGCAAAACCAATTGTATGATGTATGAAGTTGAAACTGCTTGTATCCAAAGCCAGTATACAGACACATAATGCAGTGCAAGGAGCAACAAATCTGCATCCATGGGGAAGGAAAAAACAAATACGGTCTGATGAGTCATCTTTCACCATTTTTCCTACATGCAGGCATTTGCATTTGAAGAAAGCTGAAGTAAGCATTTAATCTCTGTTGGTGTGAGCAGACAGACATGGGGTCTGACTGCTCTGCATGGTCATGTAGTGGCCTTATAACCGGACCAGCGTCAACTTATGCCGCAAATAGTTTTCCACCATGATTTTTCCAAAAAAAGGATCATGCCCCAATATGCACTGGTAAACAGATTTTTCTACCCCCTTGATTTTCCAAGCGAATTTGTGATCACAGTAGCCGCATTTTTTAAAGTTTCCCTTTCACACCTGAAATTCATTAAGAGAATCTACTTCATAGTCTGGCTGTCTCCATACGACTGTAAAATTTTATTTTGGTCATTAAGTCATCGGATATGTATATGCATGATTTTAAGCATATATGATTAATATCCATATTATGAAGTGTATACAGACATAAATGTTGATATTATGAGTGTCAGTGCTGCTTCTTTCATAAATTTACCATTAAGTCTCAAAACTGTTACTTTGTCAGCTCATGTGTTCATTTTAAAAACATTACTAAAATTGCAGGAAATGTTTTCATTTTCACCTCGTTTGACTTTTCAGGAAATGCTAAGACTTTACTCCCATCTGCTGGCTACTAATAGTAGAAAAAAATCAGAATCAGAATTTTGTAGTGTTTTAATTATTATTACAGCACGTTATTGGTGTATTAACCCTGGACAATAAGCATGTCGTTTTTCATTTTTTTTGTCCTTTCTAACTAAAGTATTTTTGAATGTCTTAAAAAACAAATTGAGCAAATTATATATACATAAATTTCCTGTGTGTTCAGGACCTTGATAATATTGTAGAGCAATGTGTTATTTTTAAAGAAATGTATATATAATATATAACTGAAGAAACGTATATATAATAATGATTGTGTGATATTGTGACCAGGGTTCCATGTTCTCCCCATGTCGTCGTGGGGTTTCCTCCAGGTACTCCGGTTTCCCCCCACAGTCCAAAAACATGCTGTTTTTTTCTCCAGCTTCATACTTTGTTCGCTTGCTATCACAATATACTTCTTAAAACAAAGCAATGAGCCTTTCACGAGATGGTTCGAAAAGACATAAAAATGAGTGTGATTACTTTTTAACTGATGAAAATGCATGTTATTAAACAACGTACTTCTTAAGTATTTATTCGAAGTATTCTTGTACTGTCCCCAGCTTGGATTAAGAAGACTGCTCAGAATGCAGGTCAGTAATACACATCGCTCTTGTATACGTATTGCTCTCTGATCCAGTAGGTGGCAGCATTGCACTGTGTACGTCGAGGGTGTCAAACGGCAGTCCTTGTGGGGGCGGAGCCTTGGTTAGCTTAGTTCTTTCCCTGTTCCACCACAAATGATTCAGTTTAAGAGCTGTGTGGTAATTAGCACAAGTAGTTGAATCTGGTGTGTTAAATGAAGGTAAACCCAACAATGTGCAGAGCTCTGGCCCCCCAGAACTGCAGTTTGACACCCCTGGTGTATGTAAACAGGGAATCATCTATTTCAGGGTTACACTTTGATATTTGTTGCATTCTTTGCTCGTATCATTTTAAGCCGCATCACGATTATAGTTTGGAGAGGTTGAACACAAGGATGTATCATTGTGTAGCTAAATGAACTTAGACACACTGAATGTTTAAATAGAAGTTTAATATAAAAAAAAAGTCACAATTCTATATACACTAAAATGAATGAATCATGATTTCATGCTAGATTAATGCCTTTGTTCACCAGTGCAAATGCCACCATTAAAAATTAATATAAAGTGAAGATGATAATACTTGAAAAAAACAACTGTTGATAAGAGAAATATAACCTGTATTAATACATTTCTTCCTTCTCACAAACGGAAAGCACATTCACGATGTACACTCACCTTAACTAACTTTTACACTAAAATGAGCTCATTTCATTTTTTGTTGTCCAGTGTTCATTATTTTGGCAGTAAACAAATATGACACCCTTTTAATCAGCTCATATTATTATAATCATCAGCGCTTTTTTTAACCATAACTGTCCACAGTACAGTACATTGCACGTTCAGTGTGGGAATCCTGCTGTAACAGCAGTGATTAATCACAGAGAATCGATGTTCCAGCGTTGACGCCATGGTTCAGTACCTCTAAGCTGGCCTTTGCCGCCCAGTGCTGTCTTCTCTGTACTCCTTCGGAAGGATTTTTGGATCACAATCTGTAACTCTTGCCATTTTAAGACACTTTGTTTTTCTTTCAGCAGCACTCTCGACAGGATCAATAGTTCACCCACATTGCAAAGGTGAACCAAAACTGATATCGCCCTTAACACTTTACCCAACTGTGAAGATATGTCCAAAGATGCAACGCTTATGACTGTGCTCTGATTATTTTTGCTTGACCGGCAAAAAAGTCTTGCTCTGCGCAATCTGAGGAATGAGCAGCCATGGCAATAGTAAATGAAGAAAACAGAATTTTGTCCCTCCACAAAAGACAAATGGACTGACAGAAATGTGTGTTTTTATAATCCCTTACTTGTGTTCAGGTGTGCTACTAAGTGTTACTGTGTGAAAGGCAGGAGAATGCTCGGCCTGAACTACGGTCCAGCTGAAAAAATACAGATTGATGGGTACCCAGGCTTTAAGCTTTTAAGCAGATTGAATATGTTTGGCAACCTTCAAAATGTGGTCCAATAATATCAATCGCTGCAAGCAAACAAAGCCCCCTGCCTAACAGCTGGAATGTGACACGATGCTATAGGAGACAAGTCACACACAGTATCATAGGTAGTGAAAACGTTATAAATCACAATTTGCTATTTCTATTAATACAAGTATTCAAAAGATCCTTTAAGCTAGTCATCAGTTCTGAAATTGAAAAATGTTGAAGCAGAATGTTGAAAAATGTGCTTTCTAATGTGCAAAAAAATGGATTCTTCACTCTTATTTACAAGATCTCCCTGAATTTAAGTCTGTTATTACCTACTTGTAAAATATACTTCAATACTGTAACTTTAAAAGTCCCTCTTCTGGCCCGTAGACAGATTCAGAAGGAAAGGTGAAGCATCAGGGCCTGTTTCTGTGTGTGGGACGTGGCACGGTGGACCTCACCTCTGCAGTGGGCATGTTTCATATTTGAAATGGTTCAGCAGACACACGAACACATGGTGATACATTCACTTCGTAAACAGAAAAATGCAAATGAGTACGATCACGTAAACATATCTAAATATGGCTCCACTCTCCATATCCACACTCATGGTTTCAAGCAGTAGTGTTTTCCTGTCTCTTCTGTTTTGGATCAACGACATGACTGATATTCGTACTGCCACACTTCAAACTAAAAAAGGTCCTTGTTCATTTCAGGAAACCACCAATGATTCAAGGGCCCTATACTTATTACACCGTAGGAATTCCTCTACAAGGCCTGCAAAGAAGGCATTTAGGCAGAACTGCACGTGAACAAACCACATCTTGGGAATTATAAAGAGGAGTTTTTTTTTTTAACCCAATCTATAATTATCATAGTTTATTTTAGTGTTTCTCCTGTTTGCTTCAAACTCCTAATTCATTACTTAAATAAACAAACAAACAAATAAATAAGACAAACGAATAAACAAACAAACAAATAAATAGCCTTAGACTATAATATTTTAAGGTCCATAATGATTGCAAGGTTATACCAGCCTAATTTCTTCTTTCTTCCTGCATTGTCTGAGCAAGTAACAATCACAGTTCAGTCCACCCAGACACAGACAAGTCCTCAATATGTCCATTTAGTTTCTGTTTGCTTTGCACAGTTTTCTTGATTTTTTTTAATCCCAGGAGGCAAAAAGCATATGAGGGATCGAGAGCACCATTGTAAGAGAATCCAAAACACAGTTGCTACCTGACCTGTCAAGCAGCGTGCTGTTGGTCTGCAGTCAATATGGTTCTGGAGCAGTGCACATCTGGCCCATCTTAGACTCCCAGCTTTCATTTGAACTTACTTGTTTTTTGGAGGATGGAAAGATGGAAGGCGGGGGTCAGACCCACGTGCTACTTGGAGCTAGCCTACACTGATGGTCACACACAGCCATTTTCCTGTCTGGCCTTGTGAACCATTGTGCGAGGGCCACTGAGAGATGGTGCAAGTGTACAGAGGAATCCAGCCAGCAGGGTGAGGCCCAGCCCACCCCAGGCACAGAACATGGACCAACCGTAACCGTGGCTAATGTCCTCTGGTACTCCATACATGTATCGCGGGTAACGGGACAGTTCAAAGTTAATTCCCGCCACACAGGTACACAAGGAGATAATGCAGCATGTTCCTGCCAGAGAGAAAACATAGTGAAAATATGCGCTTTTTAATAAAGCGTGAACTATTACTTAAATATTTTTCAATTACCACCAGTGACATTCTATACTAAACTTTCATTCTTATACCAGCGTAGGACTTAGTGAAGTAATGAGGTGAGGAACTAGGAGAGGAAATGCAGTGAAATCCACGACCAAAGTACTTAAACTGTTGCCTTTAAAGATGTCATCTTAAAACTGAAATATTGAAACTTGCTTTGCCAAGACACTATACATATATTCATACATTAATAACAAACATCATACCATTATACAAATATAATGTTTGTTATTACCATATATACAGCAGTATGCTTATGAATGGTTTATAAATACATTATAAACACATTTTAAAGATGCAGTTAATGTAAAGCGATACCCAGTATTTTCACTGCGATACTATAATACAATGTAATGAAAAATCAATACATACAGAGTTACATTTTGTAAGTAGCATCATCAAAGAAAATGTAATAATGCACCTTATATTGTCACACATTACGGAGTAGTGCAACTATCCTGCGTGAGCATTTACTACCCAAGGACTTTTTTCCCCCACAGGATTTGGTGCATCCTGTGTTGACTTCTGGGACGTCCTATATGAGCCGCCCCACTCTTGTATACTGTACCTACAAAATGCTATCCAGTGTGTGCATCTGTTACTTAATCATAGTTGTTTTTATTTCTTGTCTGTATATCTTATGTCTATTTCCAGAACATCACAAGTATCACTGTGTATGAGTCACCCTGCTGTGTTTCAATGTAAACAGTAATTCTGTGGGTATGTTGATGTTTGTCATATGAACCTACAGTATGATGCCGTGTGAATACACTGATTTGTAAATAAGTTTGCACATACCAGAGAGTAAATCGAATAAGGAAGGTATATTGAGAGCAGTAAATTTGCCAGCTAATGACTCCAAGAAGCTGATTACAATGTATTTGTGTGTGTGTGTGTGTGTGCGAGTGGGTTTACCTATCCTTATGGGGACACAATGTCCCCATAACGTGATAAATATCAATTTTTTTTCCCTTATTGGGACTGGTTTCCTGGTCCCCATAAGGGAAAACTCTATTTTATAAAAATCGGTGACTGCTACTGTATGAAAAAACTAAAAATGCAAAAACTCTTGTATTTTGTTAGGTTACTTATGGTTATGGTTAGGGCAGGGTAGGGGTTAAGGTTGTCATAGTTAGCGTTAGCATTTTTCCCATTGAAATGAATGAGCGGTCCCCATAAGGATATGTTTACCCTATATGTGTGTGCGTGTGTGTGTGTGTGTGTGTGTGTTAGAAAGGTTTATATGGCGGAAATATTGATGAGAGAAGCAGCTTCATCACCAAGGAGTGTGTGACAGAGTGTGGTGTTTGGTGGCACAACAGGCAGTCATTCTGAGCTACGATTCTCCCACCACTTGTCAGATGTCAGATTCTGAAGCTGCTCTTTGTGTTTTAGCTCCTGGAAGATGTACAGCAGTAAGGAGAGACCACCAGGAAATGTTTGAGGAAAAAATACATTCAGGGATTGATGCCAAAAGGCATCAGGGACTCAAAGTCTCATAGTAGCAGGAGGCCACGTAATCATGGAGACTCAGCTATATTTAATCTTTCAGATTATGTGCTTAGCTTAGTTTGATCTTTCATAATTGTATGTTTAAAATTTCAGTTTTGCCATTTTTCTTTAACACTGGAGCCATCTGAGTGTTGAGGTGAATACTTAATTTAGCTAAATTTAACGCTGGCCATCATTATCGCTGTCCACTTTACTAAATGTATTAATTGTATATTCAGTAAATAGACTGTTCCCATAAATGGCAGAAGTCCAAAAAAAAGATAAGTAGTCATTAGATTGACTCAGGTTCACTCTGACAGCAGAACATTTTTCTGCTTTGAATTCTCAAATCTGATTGGTTGTTGATTAATCTTTAATTCTAACTAAAATTCGAGACGTAGGACACTAAATGTACAAATTTCATCATTGGAGGAAGAAAGTAGTTTTACTAATAAATGTATTGTTGGCTCATGAATGTGAAAATAATATCTTAACATGTAAGCCAATACGTAGTATCCATGCATCCAAGCTACACAACATAGAAGCATAAACAGCTGTCGTGAATTAACCCTTAAATGTCTCCCGCTTCTTATGAAGACTCATGTTTTAGACAAACTTAAGCAGTGACTGCTCCAGCAGTGACCTACTTTGATGAAATAAACATCACAGCACAGACGAAGACCCAGATTCAAGCTCTCAGAGAGGTCTTGGGGAAAAAGAGAACTGACACGGATAGCAAGAAGATATATGATCCCCGAGTCCCCCCGCCCCAAAACAAAAGCGAGAGCCTGCAGTTCTTACCTCCCATGAGGAAGAGGAGGCCAGCTACGTACTGCATTAAATCATGCTGCTGATAGCGGCCCAGCACTCCGACGATCCATCCGAACAGGATGATTGCCACCGCCATGCCGATAAAACCGGCCGTCATTCTTCTCAGGTCTGGTGACGAAGATGAGAAGAAGGTACAAAATCAGTATATTGAGCCTTATTGATCTAGCTAGGAAAGCTTTATTTATATTTAACAGCAAATCTATACATAGAGCAGGAACCAAGGGATGGACGATTATACAGTATGCATTTTTTATGAGGGGGGAAAGCCTATGAAATTGATTTGGAGGTCCAGTGTATTGAGACACGTTGTTCATCTTCTAGTCCAGTGTTTCTCATCCCAGTCCTTGCGGACCCCCAGAAAGTCCACGCTTTTGCGCTCTCCCAGTTCCCTGGCAATTCTTTTTGTATCCATACCACAAACAGATATGATTTGAAAGTGCTGTTGTCTGCACCTTAATTTCCTCTGAGGGATAAATAAAATTCATCTATCTTCCTAGTATCTCTCCATAGCATAGTTACCATAGTTGCTTACGGACCTGCTGTGTCATTTTTCAGTATAAGTCAATAGTGCTCTGTGAGTTCCTAGCTTCCTAGTCAGGCAGCTGTCCATGGGTTACTCATATTTGTCCCCATATTTGTTGATGGGACCCACGGGGGAGCTGGAGCGGCTGTGGGGCAGGGGGAGTGCCGGACGGGTGCGGCTCTAAGGCGCCGTGTGGAAATGAGTCGGCACCAGCTCCAACATACAAGCGAGGCACTTGGCCGGTTACCGGGCTGCTCACTCACGCAGGGCGTGCCACTCATCTTGCCGTATCGTCTTGGTGACGTTGACGGGTAGGTTCCGGGGAAGGATGGAAGAGGAGTAGTGGTACTTGATTGGTGTGCAACGGTGAACCAGCCCTGAAAAAACAAGCACAGGATTTACAGTGAGATAAATTTCACTCTTTCGCTTAGCTCAGGGGTGACCAATACTCACCAGCCCTTTGCGGATAAGATTGGCCGCCCCTGGCATAGCTGTTCGTTCGTCTTCCTTTAATCCATAACTGTACAGTATGTACAAAACATTATTTTGAAATTGTTCATCCCATCATCTTATCTCATCATCCCAGCACTTTTTCTGGTGAGGCCAGTGGCGTTGGAAATAGGGGGGATGAGGACCTCCCCCCATAAACAAACAAACAAATAAACAAAACAAACAAACAAATAAATAAGAGCACATTCCTTATCTTTTCTTGTGAATCCGTGCTTTACTGAGGCCAATTCGCTATGCATGTAGAGCGCAAGTACAAAACACAAACCTAACAAAGATTGTAGTGCTGTATCAGACACCCCCCCCACACACACACTGCTGCTGGGGAAAATTCAGTACCAAAATCCTTCTGACACCATTGGGTGAGGGTCACAGCAGCAGCATGCTGAGTAGGTCAGACCAGGCCTCTTTCATCAAAGACACGGCTCATTCTGGGGGATTTTTAGACTTTGTCAAGCCAACTGCGAGACTGCAGCATGTCCTGGGTCTTCCCCTGGTCCTCTGCCCAAAGGAATGTGCTTCAATGTGCCTTGCAAACCATCCAGGTGACATGTTTACAAGATGCCCGAAGCACCTCAACTGATTGCTCTTCATCTTCAATTTTGAGGTCAGAACTCCTCATCTTATCAAAGAGAGTGAGTTCCCTGAGGAGAAACATAATTTTAGCCAGGTCTTGATGCCTTGTTTTTCCATTCAGTACCCATATCTCATGACCAGAGGTGAAGATCAGGATGCAGTTCATGGTTTTACTCGTCAATCCATCTCAAGCTTATGTTTCTAAGGAAGTGGTGCATGAATCTGTGAGTTAGGACTGTGCCTGTGATCAGATGACTGTGGTGACCATTGGGCCCTTGAGCAAGGTCTTTAATCCAGTTGTTCCAGGGTCTGGCTTACATTAATATATTGATTTGGATAAATTCATCTGCTGAACATATGTAAATGTTTCCTCTAACCATCACTTATAAAGATTTTATGGTAGTTAAACTCTTTCACTAAGAGCTGATTCTTCCCCCTCATCTGAAAGAAGCAATCCACTCTTTTCTGACACAATACCCTTGCCTCTGACTATAAGGTGTTGCTTCACACTCAGCATTGAATCAGTTGAGAGTGTGCTGGAGGTTCCGGTCAGATGAAGCCCAAAGCACAACAACTACAAATAGCAGGGGTGCCACTCCTGGTCTGTCATACTGAATGGCCTCTCAGATACAACTGCTCATTGATACCCTATTCATGAAAATCACAAAAGGGAATAGAGACAAGTCACACTCTTGCTAGAGGCTAACACCCACCCTATAATGGTTTCAATTTTGTTCCAATGACGCTGACACAAGTTTTACTGTATTCATTCAGCATACAATAGCAGCCCCTATACCCCATACCCCTGTAGCACCTTCCACAGTATGTCAGAGGATGTGCTTATATGCTTTCTTCAAAGTACACATACTGTACACTGTTATCATATTCTTACAAACATTCACAAAAGCAAGCGAGAGCAAAGAAATGGTCAATTCTTCCACAACCTTGCCAGAATCCTCTTGGTTTTACCATCTGGCAGAGTCTCTTCTTCAGTCTGCTGAGCTGAGGAGTCTGATACCCCTGAATTTGGCAAACACCATCTGCCCCACTATTCAAACAACAGGACCCCCCCCCCCCTATCCATCTTCGCTACTCTGGAAGTGCTTTGTTATGCAGCATTGATGACATGCATCAACCATCCATCTCTGAATGATTTACATCTATTTACATCTATTCCTGCAGCTTTTCCACTTTTCCTCTGACCACCATAGCAACTGCGGTGATAAACTCTGATGCACTGGAAGTTTCCATCGCATCTCCACCAGGTTAATGAGTTCCTCAAAGTTTTCTGTTGACCACTCAACAATATTCCCAGATTTCCTCCACATATCCCCACCCGGGCTGAACATGCAAGGTCCTGTATCCCCCCCCTGATGCATGAGCACTTTTCCAAGACATCATTAGGGTCACGCAGTCTGCATGGCTTCTCAAAACCCATTCCATGCATGAGCATTCACCCACATGACTGACTTCAGTGCAGTCTTTCTGGCCTGTTGGCACCTTTCAGATGTCTAAGGAGACACTTGTGCAAACATTGCCCTAAAGGCCTCCTTCTTCAGCCTGACAGCTTCCCTCACCACCGGTGTCAACCTGCAGGCCCTAGAGTTACATGACAGACAAAGACTTTCAAGCATCTCACCCACTTTCCCTAAGAAGGCTGGATACTGATCAGTCGATACACACAAGCAACAGTCATACGTCAGCAATGTTCTTAACAGTTAATTACCTCGGGCTATGTCATAGCCTCCCTCAATAAATTTTGTCACTGGAGACCCACCCCCACACCTTCACCCACATTGTTTGCCAAATGTGGGGGGGGTCAAACATCATAAATTAATTATAGGAACAAATGGAATCACTTTCAGAATTTATAACATACTCCATGGACTTCTCTGTTGTCTGGAAAAGGCACTATCATTGTACAGGGAGAGGACAAACATTGATCCACCCATCCATTTATTCATCCATCCATTTATTCATCCATCCATTTATTCATCCATCCGTCCATGGGGACCTTTGACCACTGCCTTTAACGGCACATCAGCATGATGCCAAAGTGCTTTTTCCCTCAATCCAAACAATCCTGTGTACATTCTGGGAATATTCAAACTGTCAGACAGGTATGTTTAAGGGGATGGAAGATGTGAACTGAACCCTGAAAGGCCACATGGTCTTATGCAGCTGGTCTGAAAAATAATATTCTGCTGTGTTTATTTCTATTTCTTTGGTACAAATCACACTAACAGTGGTAGGTGGCCAAGGTACCACCAGCAAACACAATGTAGCTATCAAAGAATAAAATGATACCCAATAGCGTAAAAAAGAATAAAAAATATTACTTAAGGGTGGATAGGATGGTTTTCCTTCTACAAAATGTAAAAGTTAGAAGGAAGGAAGTTAAATAGTGTTATTGTGATTTCTTGAAGGTATTCCACATGCTACCAATTCATTAATGCAGGGAAATACATATATTGCAGGGAAGTAAATTAAAAGTCTTACATAAAAAGGCTGCTGATCAAGTTTGTATCATAAAACATACAAGGATGTCAAACAACTGTTCTTTGCAAGAAATTCTTCCTTGTCACATTGTAGCACTCATCAAATACACTGAATTTCACCTAATAGCTTGCAGTTAATAATTTCAATTGTGATATCTATTGCAATGTAAATATGAAATAACCACAGGGTAATTTCACTGTTGTGCAAAGCAGCAAAACCAAGAGCTACAGAAAGTCATGCAAAAATGTGTTATTACTTGTATTTTAGCCAGAGTCTGAAATAAGTTTTTAAAAATGCAACTGGAATTGTATCAGAATGAATAACATAACATGAATGCATTTATAACATATAAAACACACATATTACATGGTATAACTATGGTACGGGGGTCTAGAAATACTAACATCTTGTGCCACCCCCCACAGTACAATTTGCCAAGTGGGGGGGGGGGGGGGGCAAACACCATAAATAAATTATATCAACAAATGGAATCACATTGTGAATTTATAATGAACTCTGTGGACTTTTCTATTCTATGCAAAAGCCACTATTATTGCACAGGCAGGGAACAAACAATGGGCTGCCATCCATCCATCCATCCATCCATCGGGACCTGGAGCTTATTCCATGTGGCAAAGAGCAGAAGGCAGACGATAACTGGAAAAGACATGTGAAGACAGACTTTACATTTGAAGTAACTAAATGACAAATACCAGTGAAGTTACAGAGGACTGTGCAGAATGTGGGACCTGTAAAAGAAGTCTCCCAATCAGCCCCTTGGTTTCGGGGCATTTTCAAAGCAACATGGGGCAAATAAATTTACAAGATTTACAAGATCGGCCAAAAATCACGATAGCTTAGGTCAAATGCTGCACGGAAAAAGAGGAACAGTGTTCGTTAGTCGAAGTTCAGTAACAGAAATCAACTCACACTTAACTAGATAAACAACAGAAACGCTACAAAGAAACATTCAAAAAATCCAAAAATCCAGAAAGTTGAATCAGCCCAATCTTAAAAATAAATAAGTAAGTAAACTTTCATAAAGCTGGAACTTATGCCACCTACAGCGTGAATGACAGGGGCAACCATGCTGAGGGACTCATCCACAAGACGCCATGACTGCTCTGAATGGTCATACAATGGTCATGCAATTTGTGGTCAGCAAACAGGACCGGGTTTACCCTACGTTGTTAACACTGTTCCACTGTGATGTTTCCATATTCCAAAATGATACTGCTCCCATACACTGGTTCACAATTCCAAGATTGGTTTCATCAATACCAGGATGAAGTCAAATGCAGTCCACAGTTCCCCTACTCACCAGAAGATTAGTATCTCATTGCACTGTCTGCAGAACATCTATGACAACATTCTAAGAATAACTGAGGCACTTTTCAAGACACAGGCAGCCAGGGTGGGGGGGGAGTTCATATTATTAGGTTCATGATATTAATCAGCGGCTAATTGACTTCTCTGGGGGCCCAAGGCTGACATGGGTGGGGGCCCCTAAGTGGGAGCCAAAAAAGGAACAAGAGGGAATTAAAAACAATAGATCATCAATAATCTGCTAGTCCAAGTGCAGGGTGTCAGTAGTAAGATTTATTGATCAGGGTGGGGGGTGGAACTGTTGATGGTAAAATTTGCTGATCTAGAGGAGGGGGGTATTGCACCAGAGGCCAAATTTAAGAAGTTTAACAGTTCTCTCTTTTGCTGTGGCCCTAACCTAAGATAGCCTATGCCTTACTCAAGATTAGCCTAGGATAGCCTATGCCTTACTCAAGATTAGCGTAGGATAGCCTATGTCTTACTCAAGATTAGCATAGGATAGCCTATGCCTTACTCAAGATTAGCCTAGGATAGCCTATGCCTTACTCAAGGTTAGCCTAGGATAGCTTATGCCTTACTCCATCTCTAAGTCTGGGATTAGTCTTGAATTTTTACATCCGTTGATTTAATTCTGTTGTCTCAAAGTCTTTTCACAATTGATCTACAACTCCTTCATAACAGTATCAAAGACACAGGAGACGGAATGTAACTCTTGTATCTTTGCACCATTTTAATTGCTTATAACGCTACTTTGGCAGTGAAACAACTGGTACTACTACACTCCAGTGTGAAAACAACACTGGGTAGTGAGAAGTCTCAAAGTAGGAATAGTCCATTACAGCTGGGACAGGCAGCAACTTTGTCTATATTGAAAACTCAGCATAGACTCAGTATGTCACTAAAAATGCAAATGACAGACATGTTGCTATAGTTTGAATGACCATTTTATCTTATATACTATACATAAACACAACTCCTCCCTTGTATGGGACCTCTACTTTCCCAGCAGCTGCCTACTCTTGCCTTATGGTAACTGGTTACCACAAAAAATCATGAGTACAGAAAAAAATATTATATTTAGCAAGGTGCAAACTGTTAGCTTGACACATAGTCAAAGAATTAATGATATACCTTCTTCATATATTTTACGGTGACTTCTACTTTTCATTTTTTACCTGAAGTACCTGTTATTGTGGGCAGTGGTTATTGGACAACACTTGACTTACTAAAGGGAGAAATAAGCAATATTATTTTAGCATTCTCTGGGTTTTCAAAATATTTCTTTTGTACCTAGACGCCTCTTGCGTGTTCTAAAATGTTGCTTTGGCAACATTGAAAAAATGTTTTCTTATTGAAAAAACACGTTTTTTTGTTTTCAGAAATGGTTCAATTGTCTCAAGCAAACAAATATGCTGAATAGTGAGAGCAGGTTCTGTTTCAGCAGGTTATGTTCTCCTGACCCAGGCTACTCTAAACCGCCACACTTACGCATAATTACAGGATTCACATATTTTCACTGTGTATGATCGCCAGCAGAACCCTGTAAATGAATATTCAGGGACATTTGCTGTCACCAGATCTCTGCAGGTTAGGCAGACACTGAACTGAACAGAATGCTGGTTTTAATTCACTAATTTATTTTGCGAGCAGAATGTCAGATTATTTTGCCAGTAGGTGACTTTTTGCACAAATTATCCTTGGTGACTACATGTCTTCCCAAAACGACCACATAGCCCTGTTTTACTGGAAGCCTTGCAGGCACCAGAAGCAAAATTGGAATTTTACTGTACTACTTAGAAATGCAAATATATATAGTGTCTTTTGCAAATGACCCTACTTCCTGTTTTATTTCAAGGATATTTAAAAGGTGATTACTGTAAATAATATTTTGAGTGAAGAATTGTCTATTCCCATATTAATTCCTTCATGTTCTTCTATTACTAACTTCCAAGTTAACTGGTAGTAGTAGGAAGAAGTTATGCTAATGCTAATGATTGTAACTGAACTAATATTACTTATCAGACTAATGCATATATGGGCTTGAGTGTGAGCATCACATTCTTCTGTATTTGGGAAGTGCCATTCGCAGTTATTGTGGGTCTATTGGATCAATGATCCAGCATCTGACTGCCTGAGAACCAGCCACGATGAGCCACATCTCCTCACCGCTGGTGTGTAAAGAGCCAAAGGCCCACTGGCTTCAGACAGTCGACCTGCTCCTTTTGTGCTCCAATCGGTCACCGACGTCTAGGTAGCTCAGCACGCTGGAGAGCGCAGGGGTTTCTTTGTCGCTTATGCACTCATCTCCTCTCTTATGAAATAAATGAAAAGAACTGGTCTCTCGTGCTAAAATCTTGCTTTCAGTATCCTTTCATCAAAACATTCTAAGCACGTTACCGCTTGATTGCAGCTGAGACGTATCCTAGACAGAAGATTTGTAGAAATTATATGCGGCTTTACTAGTCATGTTTGCATCATTAGTATGATCTTAATCCCTATCTTGAATATATACCGGTCGCGATAATATAATTATAGGCGAAATCTTGGTATCAGTAGTAACATGTAAACCCATGACAAAACATCCATCTGTGGGTATAGTTATTTGTAGGGCATCTTATTTTTTCTCATTGAATTTTACGAGGAAAAATTAAACGTGATCTTAAAGCAAACGAATTCCAACCTTTATAGATGAGATCGTCAGTCTCCAGATCAAATCCATCTCGGTGACACTTTCTCCACAACCCGGAGACGGTGGAGTTGAACTGCCGGCTGCAGTGAGACTCCATCGCAGATGCAGCTGCCAAGAAGTGCCTTTTATACCGGGACAGGGTCCCTGCACGCGCATCGCTCCCCTTTACACTATCGTCCTTTTGCGGCATTCGCAGGGGAAGGTTGTGATTGGAAATATATATGTATCCAGGGTCGTTTCTTTTGTTGGCGTAATTCTTGCACCTCTCTCGGTGCTTCCGCGCATCCGTCTCGTACCAATAGTCGGTGCAGATGGCGATCGCCAGCAATCCCAACGCAAAAAGCGCCAAGAAAAGACCAGTGCTAGTTAGGACCTTCGTGGCAGCCATCTTCCTGGTTTACTGGAGAATCCAGATAGAGGGCTGCGGTGGAAGCGGTGGGACAGGAAAAAAATCAGGGCAGCGCTCACATGTTCGCACACCTCGCAGCCACAAAGATGTCGGCCGCCGTCGAGAGAGCCCCGCTGCTCCTTAAGGAAGCATCCTTTTGTCATGGAACTTGAGGACAGATGCTGTCCTTTTCACACCATCTGCGTCTTTCTGTATTGATTCGGGACGGATGGCAACCAGCGCTGCGAGGCGAGATCGATGATGCAATACTCTCTTACCTCCAGGGAATCATTTAGGCAAGGCGAAAAGCACAGACTTTACACATATTCAGTTAAACACGATTAGTTTAGTGGAAAAAATAAAAACTTAATTAATGAAAAATACCTACATAGCCATTTTTTGCTCTAATGTTGTCGGTACAAAATGTATCAGCGACACCTATATAGTAGTTATTTTAAATTAAGAAATATAAGTGGCTGAGCTGCAAGCACTGCTACCTCACACCTCCAGAGTAAAAAATCCAGCCTCCCTGTGTTTGAAGTTTGCATATGTATCCTGGGTCACATAGATGCCTTGGGATAATAGATAAGGTAAGTGGTCTGGAAATTTCCTGTGGTATCCAATAATGGACTGGCATCTGGGCCAGGGTGTACCTTTCACTGTAACCCTGGTTGCTTAGTGGTCGGAAGATGAATGGACAAATGGGTGGACATGTATTTGCATTTCTGAAGGAAATTAGTGACATTTTCAGAGAGATCATTCAGGGATTCACGCTAACTAATGCAAGAGTCTGTTGGATGGATAGCTATATTAACACAAGAAGTGAACTTTAGAATTTTGTCATTTGAAGTATCGATTGAATGACTACTACATCCCATCCAGGGTGTTTCGCAGCCTTGTGCCCTGTGCTGCCTGGAATGGCTCCCCCCAAATCAGCCGTCTGCAAGATATTCTCTACAGTTCGTGTACAGTACAATCACTTTGGCTTTAAATTTTTGCTGAACTGGATGTTTTACAGTTCATTTCTCAGTCATAATAATGGGGAATGGCAGCATCACTGCACTGTGATGAAAAATTCATTCGGTTCCCTGGCACTTTCACATATTGCCTTCGTTGCTTTGGCAGCCTGGCAGCTTCTTGCATTGTCCATGTTAAAATGTCATTTAGCTTGCAAGCAGTAATGCAGTATGAATCCTTTACAGCCAAGAGTGATACAGGCTTGAGAATGAATCCATGCAATTTAGATTTAGGGATAAACCTTTTTTTTTTTTTTTTAAACATCAGTGGTTCACTGGTGAAAACTGTCAGATTCCTGGGCATCCAGCTCTCAGACTCCCTCCCAGTCTCTCAACACAGGCTGTATCCTCAGGCAGACACAACACACTGTTCTTCCTGAGGAGGCTAGAGAGCTTTGGAGTGGAAACTAAGCAGCTAGCAGACTTGTACTGATGCACGACAGAGAGCATCCTGACAGGATGCATCACTGCGTGGTTTGGTCACTTGACAGCCCAGGATTGCAAATCACTACAAAGAAAATAGGTGCAACACAAGACAGCTTCCAAATTATTGGCTCTGACTTTCCACATTTCCAGTCCATTTACAACACCCATTGTCAGAAGAGGGCTGAAAATGATGTCTTCACACCACAACCCTCTGGTAATTGCTATAGAAACATCGTTTCAGAGACAGGTTCTTTGAAAGTTCTTAAATTAGAAATGTAAACACCGAGACTCTGACACCAAAACCCTGCGAATAATTCCTCAACTGTGTAAAACTGTTGCATATTTAATGTAAATATTCGACATAAACAATATTGCATTGATTTAAAGCAGCTCTCTCACCATTCCTCTACTGTTGTATTGTTTGCACTATATTATATTTGTACAAATTAATGTGCCATTGCACTGTATTGTTTTGTAAAATTCTTGTGTTGCACCCATTTCCAAATTTCTAGTTTGTGGAGTAGTACAATTATTTCACTGTATTATGTGAATATTCACTGCAACAAAGCTTAAAACAAAACAATGGGGGCAGGACCAAAATCAGCAGATAGGCCCCATTCACTCAGTTCACGGCTCTTGCTCCCCGTCATACATAATAGTGTGTGTCTACATTCTGATGTACAGCTGTCAAGTGTAGGCATTCTATTATCTGATGACCAGTGAATCCGCAATTGTTTTCCTCCCATATTGCATCAAAATGCCTGTCTTTTGTTTTTTCCCCGCCGTTTCTGTGCTCTGTTTGCAATCCCACCCAGAGGGCCTGACAATCCTGTGAAGGCTGCACCCAAATAATTTTATGTCTTTGCCCTTTCTATACGACTCATTTTATTTTTATGAAAATGAACAGCCACTACGACGACTACCGCTAATCATTTTATGCATTGAGTGAAAAAATGGATGAAACGAAAAGATCGAGTGAATGTTCAGCAGAATCATTACCAGAAAAACCGATGACTTCACATACATAGTCAACACTGTCCTTAGACACTGCTTCGTTTTTCTCTGAGGAGACATCTTGGCATTGAATGATCGGCAGCTTTCAAATCACCACAGGAGGAAACTGCAAAGCAAGGAATGGCATTACAGACCAAACGGTAAATTTACATTTGTGGGCTTGTTATGAGAAAAGAAAAGAAAAAAAACTTCTCTCTGCATTGAGTGACCAAAGCAAAGGGCAAGAGCAGCAATTATGGTTTAGAGAAAGAGTTGAAAAGTCAAAAGCCAGACAAGTGAAACACAAATAAGCAAAACCAAACAGGCAGGAACAACAGCCGCAATCAGTTAAGCAATTCAGTGCTGAATCCAAGAGAGTCGGTAAATACAACAGGCTGAGTAACGAAAGCGAGCAAAAGCTGCCGGGATGCCGACAGCAGGCAGTTTATATTCATTTCTGGGTGGTGATACACGAGCGGCAGGCGAGACCTGGCCTGGAATCCCGGAATGGAGCAGAGACAGGAGGGCTGGGTCAACAGAATGCTGGAGAATCAGTATGATACCATGCAGGACATAACAGACCTTTGATTAATTGAGAAGGACAGGATGTCCAGGGTGCCAGAGTTTGACAACCACTGTGACAGCAAAGTGAGTTACTATGCAGATCCATGATCTGAAGCTTTTTTAAGCCCAGCTGGTGAACAAACATCACTATTTGCACTATTTGGAGGTACAGTTTTTCTAGAGAGCATATGCTTTTGAAGGCTCATTCCTCCACATGCTGGATTGCGTTAAGCTGCTTCATTGTTCAATGTTCCCACGAGCATACAAGCTTAAGAGCTGCAATGTATCAAGCCAATAAAATGCAATACAAGAGATCTGGCTTGTTATTACTGGAAATGTTTAATACTTTTACAGAGAAGCAAACTAGGGCCAAGGTGCAACAATGCACACCTAGAAAGGTCAAGCAGCCCCAGAACAGACACCGTGCTGTAAAAATGGTACCGTCCTTTGGACAAGATGAAAAGTCCTGACCCTCTGATATCATAAAAGATCCCTGGGCATCTTTCGAAAGTGTCGGGGTGGTACCCCCAATGTCCTGGCGAAAATTGCCCACTTAACCGTCCCCTATATGTAATTGGTGAATTCTCTCCTGCTCCTTCACCACCTGAGCTACTGGGTGGTGATCGTACTGGGCGGTGATCATACTGGCGCAAAACAGCTTCTGTCACATCATGCAGGTGGGGGCTATACTGTGGTACAATATAACTGCAGTCTACATCTGAAGGGCAGAAACTCTGAAAATGATGGACCAGCAGTAGGACAGAAGATTAAGGGGAAGCTGCCGCAAGGACGTGGGAGACTGCAGCTAACGGTACAGACTGCAAGGGGAAGCTGCCGCAAGGACGTGGGAGACTGCAGCTAACGGTACAGACTGCAAGGGGAAGCTGCCGCAAGGACGTGGGAGACTGCAGCTAACGGTACAGACTGCAAGGGGAAGCTGCCGCAAGGACGTGGGAGACTGCAGCTAACGGTACAGACTGCAAGAGGCACATGGCATTTTCTGACAGCGATGGCTTCTGTTTAAACACATTCCACTACTGAAGGCTTAATCTAAACACTCCACCTGTGTAAACATCATACATTGTCCTATCCCCCTACGGCCATACCGTCCCAAAGTCTCCAAGAATGAATTACAAAATGAGAGGAAAAGGAGATTCAAGCGAGCATTGATTAAATTTTGTATAGAAACAGTCATAGAAACTGTGTCGCACTGTAATATTTGCAATATTGCCAGGTCCACTTACAGAAACGTGCCTCTGATTACGGAGATCAGACATGCACAGAGGTGAATCTGGGAGACTGTATTACCAAGAACCCTTAGAAAAATTTAAGTTCTTAAACAGCCGAGATCGGTTGTACAGTAAACAAATTATCACATGATCCAAACTGATCATGTAAGGACAGTCAACTTCTTGGTACATGAAGACTTTTATAGAACAAAGTACATTCAGTTAAGTCCTACGCACGTATTATTTGACTCAAAAACACTGAAAAATCGACAGCGGCAAAGTAAAATATTCAACAGCACAACCGATCTTGCGGGGTGAAGCCTCCAATAAACATATGTACCAATCTTTTTGGTTTAATGTTAAAACATATGACTCAATACCTTCAAGCAAGTCTGCCACAGGTCCCAAATACAGTGGACGATATGTTAAAACGCGGCAAATTCAGAAAACACAAATTATGAAAAGTAAAACAAATAAACTTGCAAATCCACTCACACCACCATGGAAACGAGCCACAGCACAACGGAGGTTTCCGGGGGGCAATGAAACGAAACAGCTCATTAGGGCTGGGTGGTATATTGAATGTTTACAGCATATTGATGAATTTTCAAAATGAGATATGGGATTTGCATGTTGAAAACGTCCATTAAAATGTGATTAACATGATTAGTGATAGGCTGGTACTCTGCTTATTGGCCACTGTACCTGAAGTACTTACAAGAACAGAGAACTCATCAAGCATTTCATCCTTATTTGGAGGGAGAGGCGGTGATGTGTGATTGTCAGACAAATCCCAGCATAGTAGCTTCTGCATTAGATACAATGTACAATCCACCATAACAGAACACTGAGTAAGCAGAACCCACAAGTGAATTGTTATGGCAAGGCATTCTTCCAAGAAGATTGTGTCACAGTTCAATAAGTGCAAAGCAATCCATACTGCACTCCAGTCATTTGTTGACATTTTGGAGCAAGCTCTACTTCTGAGAAGAAAAAACAGATGGCCTGCAGAAAATATTTGATTTGTATGACAAAAGAGTTTATTTACAGACTGGTACACATAAAGCAAAATATGTACTTAAAGCAAAATATTCATCTTTGAAAAGCAGTCTATTCCATTACTAAAGTGTCATAGCAGCACAGCAGAAGTCAGTTGCTCTTGTTGAATGAAAAATTGAGTGAAATCACAGAAAAACCAGACTAATAAGCATTTCATAAAATACTGCTGTCTTTAAGCACTAACCTATCCAGAAGAAAATTCCACATGAACCTATGAGATTAAAGTGTGCATTTCACAAACACGCAAATTAAAAAAGGGAAAATTGCTAGCTCTTAAATGTTACCGTTTTATGGGAGTGAAGGTTATACACCCACATAAGAATAAAATCTGTAATAAAATAAGATCATAGGGATTTGGCTGTAGCATATTCTAGTTCTACATACAGGGAAAGCAACCCTTTCATTCTTCAATGTCTTTTTTGAGCGTTAATGATGCAGTAGGACTGTACACACAAAGACTAAATTATAGTAATTAATTTTATTAAAAGCTTTTGAGTTTCTTTAATGCAACTAATATATATACCTTCCCAGGGGCTAACACTGAGCCAAAATAAGTGTCACTCAAGAAATATAGATACAGAAAATTTTGGACATGTGCATCGACAAAATTGCTGAGCGTATCTAAACTCTCCAGTGACACTGTAAGCAGCAGGTGCGATTTGACCTTAGATTGACAACATGCCGTTTGCTTGCTGAATACCACAGAATCTAACAAAAAAGGCACCTGAATATGCTTGAACATACAAAATCTTATATGACAGGATATATAAATAAACAGAACATAACTGACAGTGCTAATGAGGACTGTGAAACAAGATCACCAATATCAACAGCTAAGGAGACAGTAAATCAGTATATTGGCAAAGGTTAACAGATGTTTGAAGTAAAGCTGTTATGTATGCAAGACTGATGAGAAAATATTACATTTAGCCATATCCACGTAGTGGTACCTGTGGGTATTGGTGTGTAGGCGAAGAGTAACATTTTGGGAAACAAACGACGCATCTTTGAGTGTTCACTTCAGTAGTGCTCCTGGGGAGTGTGGTGCCGCGGGCTGGATGAGCAGCACACTGATTCCTTCCAGGGCACCACACACACTCACGGCACGTCCACCTCTGGCATGGCTCCCTCATTGGAGTGCATGTTCAAAAACAAAACAAAACCAAAACAAACAAAAACAAGGCCTCTCAAGCTTCCGATTGTCTGTCCGCTTCCATTGCAATGGCATCACTGGCCGCAGCCCCAAGTCACCTTTGCGTGGGAACAAACTGACTTCCTGCAACATCATTTCCACTGGACACATTGAAGTTGAGAAGTGTGTGTGTATGTGTGGGGGGAAGGGGGGGGGGGTGTCTCTTTTGGCAGTGGGACCGTACCCAGAGTGTCAGTCCACCACAGTGGACAAGACGGCCATGACTGCTATCCCACAGCACAGTAACAGGATCTGCAACAGCGAACACCTGGAGGCAGACGACAGGACTAGAACAGGACACAACGTATTCTCACACAAGCAATGGCGAGTCCTAGTCTTCCCTTATCAGCAAGGTGACAGGATATCACTCATAGCTTCTAAGAGGGTCGCCTTTGGGATTTATTGCGGCCAATTTCTAAAAGCACTGTAGGCAATAAAAACATCTATCAAACAAAAAGCGGCACCATAAGTCAGGAAATTAGTTAATTTCTCCAACAATAACACAGTGCTACTGTAAAGTATAGTACTGATGTATGTGATAATCTACACTTTTTAGATGGCATATACCTGCTTGAATTGAATTTATTCATAACCACAAATACTGGGTTCAAAGAATCCAAAACAAGCACCTGTTGTCTCGTACTAGTGTCAAGATATTATTTTACTTTGTAATGAATGGATGAAACATGGTATTCCTTGTCCCAGAATAAGCTTTTGTGAAAGATTTGATAGTTTCTGCTAAATATTAAATCTGACACTTTGCCTGGTGTTCAGACATCCCAAACACCTGTTCCACATTTATTAAGGCAAACGGCCAGTTCATCTGATGCCCTTTAGCAAAATATTTTGTCACTCACTCACAGGCTGTGTCTAACACATGCACTTTCTCTTACGTTGTAGGAGGAAATAGGTTTCCCAACAATTTACCATTGGAAATTGTAATACTGCACCATATTTACCATAAACACACTATTGTGGAGGTAATCAAAGTCAGGTGGAATAATACTTAGATTCCATGACAAGTAAACAATTTAAATGCAGACTGGCGATAAAATCCATGCAATTTTAGGAGAGTAATCCAGAATTTGAAAGGGCTAAAGCTCCACTTATGAGTAAACTTCAGACAAAAACAAAAACTAAGTGCAAAATCATGACTTAGCGATGCCATTACCTGGGGTTAGACTCTTGGAGAAGGTCTGGCACTATGTTGACTAAAGCGATGTACAGGAAGCCGCCTGATGTAAATGGTAGGATCCAGGCTGTAGAATTTCCTGCATCAGTGAAGAAAAGAGGATAGCAACTGTTGAGGAAATTTAGTGTACGCTGCTTCAAATGATTACATTCAACAAAATCTCCAAAAACTGACAGCTGCCTCATTTCAGAAAACTTCTTCAATAATTTGCCATCGCTTGCTTTTGTATGTATACAACTTAATGAAGAATGGTCATTCCCTATTATGAATGAGTAACAAAAGACCAGCTAGTTTGATGTTCTACTGACTGAATCTACTTCAATAAACAGTTTAACTTCTGCAGTTTTGTTTTCATAGCCTATTTCCAGGGGTGTGGACTGCCTATTTCCAGGGGTGTGGACTGCCATTAGCACTTTAGAACAAACATGCAGTTCATTATTTTGCATCTCATAGCAAGGTTCTGAAACACAAATTCCCACAAAATCACAAAGACCACAAGTGCCTAAGTTCTATATACAGAAGTCTTTTTTTGCATGGTGAAACTTTACATTAAAAGATGATGAACAATATTAGGCTGGCACTCTCCTTTAAGCACACAGAGCAGTGTTATCTACAAATAGCATTTAATTCAAAATGGAAAAAAATACATATCCTAGCCCATATGGGAAGTCATGCATGACTGCTGTGGTCTCACCTGCTCCTTTGGGAGACTGAGCACAGAGAGCAAAACAAGCACCCAGAACCCCCCCTAGAGCCGTGGACAGCTGCATTTTGGCTGCCCTCCAACGGTCAAACCCCGCCCTCAGCAGAATGGCAAAGTCCCCCACCTGAAAGGCAGGAATTCAGCTCAGCACAGTTGGAGAATTATGAGCCCCTATCCTGTCTTGAGTTACAGCCTCCTGGCAAAATTAACATATTGAATTATAATAAGACAGAACCAAAACCAATTCAGGAAATAAATTCATGGTATCAGTGGTTAACTCTGGGAATTAATCTAGAGGACTGTGAGGGTTGTGCTGTTTTTCAGTAATGGTAGTGTAAGGAACAGCGGAAAGATGCCCCAATACAGACAATGTTAGCAAGTTATGATCATGGGGGAAGTCTGGGAGAGAATAAGAGGTTCCATTTGGCACCACCAGGGTGCTAAGGAAGATAATTCAATTGACAGTGGCCAGAGAAGTGGCTGAGCTACCATTTGCTCTCACGGGAAATCCCCGTCCTGTCCTGTCCTGTCCCGGTCTGAGGATCCTCACACTCCAGGGGGTCACTCTATATGTAAATTCACTCACAACACCTACACACAGCACCTTGTTGGGGAGGGTCTTTTGGGGTATAAAGGGGGGTGAAGAACTACCCTTAATTTGTATTTGAGCTGCCTTTCAATACCCGGTGTGTGTCCACACTGTATTACATTATATTATTTTTACTGTTCAATAAACCAACTGCGGAGACTGCAAGTGGATTCCTTACAGTAGAATGCACTGATTTGCACTCACTACAAATCAGCAAGTCTTGTGTTTCTCAAGGAGCAGACTGGAGAAAAGGCATACAGCCACAAAGAGAGAAACAGAGCTGTGTTTACAGCAAAGGACAGAGGCCAGGAGGGGATATCAGGCTCAATTTCTGCCCCAAATCTCTCCCCACTTCTAATGGAGGGGGGGGGGATGATAAAACTTAGATGTCCTGAGGATTAACAGCATACTTGAGAACCAGCAGCATCCCCACATTAGTCAACACAAATACGCAGAGGTGGCTTAGTATTTACGAACCTCATGAGGAATTTCATGAAGAAGAATAGCAAATGTTGTCAGGACACCGACCTGTTAGGATAACAGGAAAAACACATATCAGTGACCATCTGCTCCATGTTTTATGGCCAGTCGCATCTTTTATGTTGCCAAGGTGACACAACTATGGCAACAGCTGCTTCAAGTATGTGCTGAAACTGAATTTTATTCAGATCTCTTTGTTGTGCGGCCAGGTGCTTAACAGTAACCCAAGGCCAACGGAATGACGAGGGTTTGTGCTCTCAGGCCAGCACAGGGCTGACACAAATAAAGAAAAAAAAACAATGTTTTTTCTTGCTTCTATACCAGCCTGAGACAAAGGTTTGTAGGCATACATGTTAACTTCAATTAGTGTCTTGATAACACATGCCTGAATTCATACGGCCTGCATCTATTGCAGAAGGACAGATGAAAGTTTTCTTTATTTGTTCCTACAAATAGTGTAAACAAAGCTGTTAATAGAAAAACAAATGAATAAACTCTGTGAAGGATAAAAAAAAAAGTTTGGGTTTGTGACCATTTTACTTGTCCTGACAAAAACAGAACATGGGACCCATGTTCACCTTTTTTGAACATTTGATTTTTCCTGCAGTACAAACTTACTTTTTTGCTGACCAGGAAACTTCCCCCGACTGCCAGCCCATGAGTAAAGTTGTCAATGCAATTGGCCAGGAGGTTTAAATATCCACTCGTCTGTCAAAAATAGTAATGTTTTATACATTTTATTTATATATATATATAAAGATTCAGAACATCAATACTGCAAGATATCTTGTATCTAGCAAAGCATCTCACATGAAATTGGAGTAGCACAATTAGGTACTTAGTCCATGAGGCATTAAAGTTTTAATACTTTTCCCCTCACGACCACAAATACACCGGAACCACCATGGAACTCTTGCCAAGACCCCTCTGTATGAACAGGGCGCTGCCCAAACGGCACTGCAGTGCTTATAACTGGACTCAGGAACAGACAAAGTTTATGAATGTTATGGGCGGAGCTCTAGACCATCTGCTCGTGCTGGCAGGAGAAAGTATAAGGCAAGTAAGACACATATGCAATGGTGATCTTCCTCAAAGCACTGCAAAGAGAGACAGCTCAGCTTGTGAAATGACCCAAAGTCACAGAGAGCGACGGCTCCAATAACTGCAGGACCCTTCCCATAATACCAAGTTCGATCAATGCCAGTTTTCACCTTCATTTTATTCTCAGCGTATATATTACAGTGTATTTGTAAAACCTGTGAATCCTAAATATTGCCTGGGACTCAAAGAAAGACATTAAGGAAAAAAAAAAAAAACACATTTCTTCTCCCGACCTTTATTTTCTCTGGAGTTCGGTGCGGCGTGCCCTTTGTCTCCAGAGCAGAATGGCCGTCGGGACAGTGCCCGTTCGTGTGTGTGGCCCACCTCTCCGGCGAACTGATCGTCTGCCCACAGCTGGACTTAGCATACAGGTTGACTTTTGAGCACGAGCAGATCTGCAAAAGGAGAGAAGCTTTGGTATACCGAGTGCTATAAATGTTTCATTAAGGCCATAACAAAAAAAGAATAACAGTAAACCACAAACATACTATAAACATAATTACGAACATCATTTCAGTCACCACAAGAGCAATATCCGTAGTCAATGGATCTGTGAAAAACTAATAGTTGCTCTGATCCACAGATGTTCAATACCTAGAGACTTGGGGTCTTCAGATATACTAACGATGCTAACAAACATTTAATTGAATAAGTGAAGCCCAATTAGAGTCAGTTTTATTCTGGAAAAATCATTCACTTCAGCATACTACCCTCCTTTTATAGAATCATAGTTAGTTTTATGGTAGAATGTAAAAATAAAGAAAACCATAAATGAAAATGTTATACCGACCACGAGGTGGTATCCATGTGTTTGTCTTTTTATTGAATTATGTTGTTACTCACAAGTCATTAAGTTGGTTAACATTTTCACTGTCAGTATTCCTGAGTTTTAAAGGAAACCGCTGCATTACTGCTGCCATTCTTTTTGGGATATGCTGTACAAATCTGATTTTTGCAGATACACTTCCTGGTGTTTTTGTTTTATGCATGGATTAATGCATGGTTAGCACCATTTTAAGTAAATAGTAAAAATAAATACAATGATAAAATGCAACTACGAACCAACAAAATGACAAAGGCCCCTCTCTTCATCCTACTTTAATCTGTCAAAATCTCAATCTATCACACAAACAAGAACCTTTCATAGACGCTGTATGGATAAGATTCCCAACCATTTTATGTGGTTAAGTGTAACTAAATTACTCAATAACTACACAGATAATATCTTCTTACACATAGTTGCACCCACGCAGGCCGACAGCTGACTTATTATACTTAAGCTACCTCTTTTGAAATTGCCTGCAGTCTGAATTTCAACAGCAGAACCAGACACCATTTTCCACCCACTGGCAGATTTACTGGTTTAGCCACCGGAATATTGCACTTACAATTTCAAATACCAACCAATACATTTTTAGCAAATCTGCTGGTACAAATTTTTAATGATGGGTCCATATAGTTAAAATGTCAGCCTTTAGAAGCGATAACGGTCGTGATTAAGAGCATTCCTGAACAGTACTGCCAAGCCTGGGGCTTAATCCAGCAGGACACATGCACTCTCCCTCGTCCTCTGGTGATCACTCATTTCTTAATAATTTTCCAGCTTGGCAACTCCACTTTCAACAGGCTTACAAAAGCCCCTCATGCTAAAGCCACAAACAATGTAAACACATAAACAAAAATTTCCAACATGCATATCATGAAGACCACAAACACTCTGCTCTTTTGCAAATCTATGTACATAAATTAAACCACACGGCCCATAAACAGTAAAAGATGTGAAAGGACACATCCATGCAAGACAGGTCCAGGTTCACAAATAACAATCACATAGGTGTGGAAATTACAAGGGGTTCTTAACATGCAAACAGAATGGTCAGGCAGCATTCATTTTTGTCTACTTTTATAAAGCAAAACCACATAATGGCATGTAGGACACACACATGCTCAGAGTTTCGGCTCCTCTCGTGGGTCTTTAAAGGGCTCATTCAGAACAGCAAAGACCAAAGCCCTGCCTAACCGCCGTCAGGGAGCAGCCTGCCCTGCCTGTGCCTTTTTTTTTGTCTGGTTTTATATTTAGCCAAAGTGTGGTGGAAAACACGTAAGTGGCATGGAAACTCCTGGTAGCCTTCAGCCCGGGGGGTGGGGGGGGTGGGGGGGGGCAGGGGAGAAGCCTGCGCATAGACATTCCACAGGTACTAAAACTGTATAGGTCACATTTGACTGGATAAAACTGGTTAAAAAAATACATTCGAAAAATTCACCTGTATCATCTCTTACCAGAAATCATTTACTCACAATAATCCACAGACTTTGTAGTGAGCAGATTAATGTAGGAACTATATTCTTCTACAAAACTCCACACACCAATCATATCACTGCACAGACAAGCACCCCGGCATTATCTTGAGTAACCAGGTTAGGATTTTTTCTAAGAGATATTGCTGTTGAATTTTTCTAATGTATTTTTTGGCGTTTTAAACACCACAGAAACAATACCATACAGTTCCATAATATTCGAGAGAAGACTGACATTTCTATGGCCAATATCTCCAAAACTAGGCAACTCCCAGCAGAACAGCCTCTAAAGCTCCCCTAAAACACATATTTTAATGAGTTTTGGGGTGAACTGCCCCTTTGCCACTGAGAGTAAACGTTCAAAGTACATGAAGCTGGCAAGGGTGTTCAAATTCAAATAGCTACATTTATTAGACCAGGGGTGAGGGACCTGATCCAGGCCACCCTCACTTTCAACTGTACTTGAGGGGGGGCAAGAACTAATTATGCTGCTCATTATCTGCCTTAGCAACAAGCCATCTAGGTAATTATGGGATGAATCACAGTTGTATGCGTCATTTGGATTTTTCTGCAGGGAGCAAAATCCTGGTTGGTCTGCTAATATGTTTCAGGACTGGATTACTTATACCACTTAGTTACTAACAGTCAAACTGGTTATTTGTACCGTTTTATGTACAACGCAAAACTTTTGCTTGTGTGCCATTTGCGCTAAAAGCTTGTCTTACTACAGACACTGGAACAAGTGATTAGTATTGCAATGGGTTATACCATCAGCCGATTAAAATGCAAATGCTTATTGAAAAGCACAACACATTGGGAGACTATACCTCCAGCGGCAGAGATAAGACTGCAGTGAAACCTGAGCAACAGACTCAAGTGCAGCCGGAGCAGCCTCACGACCAGAACTATAAAAAGCCCAAGAGTCACTGTCTGGGTCCCAGTTTTCACCAGCTGTCTGCAGCCCTATTGGGCAGAGCATCTGGCGCAAGCAGTGGGGGGACTAGACGCACTTCCTGTTTTACACGGGGCACTGCTTATAGATCACAAGAAGAGAATTATATTAAAACAATGCAGTGAAGTAAAAGGAGAATTATATTAAAGACCTTTTCCAAGTGACTACATTACAAAACACACAAAAACTGAATAAGATTAATGCCTCTAGCTTGAAATAAGCATAACTATGTCTGTACTGTATCTAGCTATATTTAAAAGATATAAAATGTCATAGCACCTACGAATGCATCCTTTACCTTTGTTACATGGCATCATCATTTAAGATACAGTATGCTGTTCATTCTGCCTCCCCCAGTTAGACGTAAATTTCCTACTGTAAGACGTAGCTTGAAATTAAGAGTAAATTTTCCCCCCATAACAATAATATCCTGCTGGTTCAGAACTTAACAGGGTTTAAAGTTTGCTTAAACAAAACCTTCCCTGAGAAACTGCCGAGGTAAAAATGTATACATATACAAACAGACCCTATCTATGAATGAAGGCTTCCTATTGGCAGGGCACACAAACCGCACTGGCAGGGAGCACAGTTTCCCTAAACAAACTTTTCCTCCTTGATTTTCAAAGTGCCTAGACTTGACAATCAAAACTAACTGTGCGGTGCAAATCCCACATGAAAAAGTGTTTTGCCAATCAAAACAAAGGGAACAGAGGCGATTAGCAGATTAAATCTGTGCCTGTGCAGATCAAGATAGCTATGCAAAGACATGTTGGTGCAAGAGCCTCCAATGCACGTCTCCTGTGTCTGTACCAAACTGCAACTAAATGGAAAGGCTTCTGGGCTGCTGAGTGGCTGAACTAAACCAGGAAAGCAGCTCACAGAGAGGAGGACCTGACAAGCATACATATATATTTATGTCTAAATAAGAGCCCTTCTATAAATAGTAGCAACCCAGCATGGAGGAGTCAAACATTCTACAACTGGTTGAGGACCCAGACAAGGCTTGAGTCTCCCACGTTAAAGAGGCATTAGTCACCGAAAGACAGATGAACCAGTCAAGTGAGCTCATTCTTTCCAAGTGGTCCTGCAGGACTTTTTGAAGATGGTTGGCCGGTTAGTATGAGTAACCCTAGGATTCTAAAATATTATAAAGAAGACAACACGACATCTCATAAAATTCTACTGCGGACGGTCAATAAAAATTCAGCTTGACAAACCCTGACAAAGGAATACACAGCACATACAGAATGTCAGACTGGGTTTCAGGGGGGGACTGGTCATCAAACGGCAAATGTGCTATTTGACTGAATGCAAAGCCATGTGTGTGGAGTCCCCAGGACGCCAAGGAATGGTGCTGTGGAACTCACCGAAGGATCGTCCTGACTCTCCTCATCTGGGAACATCTTCTCCAGCACAAGGAAGGACAGCATGCCCACAATGACCCACAGGCCCTGGATCTTGTGATGCTGATGGCCCCCATCTGCCAGAAAGGCACATTACAGCCCCAGGGACTATTTCCATTTGTTTTCATATTCTCAGTATGCTAGTGTTTAACATAAAAAAAACTATGGTCTTGGTTTGTCACAAACTCATATTTACTATATCAGTCAGTCTCATTCTTCGGTTACCTTGCAAATCAAACTAAAGGCAACATTCAGAAAACACTGTTTAAACATTATTTTAGAAGTCAGTTGCGCAGTGTTATCCACTTAGGATGCTAGTCCACTGCACCAGGTCCTTTCCCATTGATTTCCAGCCAGGAACCAGTACCAAACCAGCTGGGGTACTTTCTTTGTAACTTGCAAATGTGTTTATCGTCAATCGGTTATGCAAATAATCTTCCTCACAAACACAGCATACATCCACTATCCTGAAAAAGAGTAGTACTTCATGAACTCAGAAAACAAAATGAATAATATTGGATGCGTGGACAAATAAGACCAAAGCTTTAAATGCCCAACCTTTTTAAGTACTAAAAGTATGATGTCTGGTGCAGTGGAAAAGCACCTTCAAACCTGGACTGCAACCCCCAGTCCAATGTGTCAAATCCTGGTTGATTTTGCAAACTAATATTTAGAATTTAGTCAATATTCAAAGTTAGCTGCCTCACTGATAAAGACAAAATTACTAAATTAAAGGCGATGACTCAATTGGATGATCAACCATTTCCCACAGAGGATGCCAGCTCATTTACCTCTTAGAATCTCGCTACAGTCTCCCAAGTCAGCATCCTCAATGTCTCAGTGCCTGTATTATATTATGTTGTCGCTAAATATATTAATGGGATCTTAAGTAATGTCAACAACTTCACTAAAGATTTATTGGGGCTCAGAGGCAAGCCAGTTATGGCTATTGGCATTATTAGAAAAAATATATATTGGCATCAGCCAAAATTTACATATCGTGCCACAGTGGCTCAGTGGGTAGTCAACCCCACCCCCAGTCTTTATGTCAGGGGACTGCATGTTCTCCCTGCGTTTGCATAGGGACATTGAGTAATATGGTTTCCTCCCACCGTCCAAATGTGAATTTTCATGTGGTTTAGATTAATTTAAGTATGTTTCCTAGGACTGGCTTACTGGGAATATAGAAGATGGATGGGTGGACGAAATAATTGAATGTGGAATTAATACGTCAAAGTCTAACCACGCAATTACAGACTGTCTGAGCTTCAAAGGTAAAGAGATTCTGTATCATACTGAAGCCCAAAATAAACTCCCAAGAGTACAGAGGAGTACAATCATGACCAAGAACATGGAAAGACCAAATGTTGCATTTTGTTTGTGCTGCCCATTTCCCCCACCAGCATAGCGACAGCAACCCTGCCAAGGAGGAGAGGGAATTTAGAAGGACAGATCTACCAGATCAAGATGGAGAGACCGGATGGTCGCTCACCTGTGCTGCAGGAATAGGCCCATGCCTCTGGCAGCAGGTGCAGGAAGACGTCACCCAGCAGACCTCCAACGGCGAAGCTCAGGAGCTGCTTTAGTTTCTGGCAGCCAGCTGCAGCCAAAGACAGAGTATCAAACATGGACAAGTACTACAAAGGACTCTGTACAAGACTGGTCTTCAGTCATTGTGGTGACACAATGATTTTGAATCCAATACAAGCATGATGCCATTTGTTCCTTAAGTTCTGGAGAAAAAAAGCCAGTCTTTAAACCAATGGTCAAGTCAAATCTCACAGCACCACAAAAAACTGTCACCCTCCACTTCTGAGTCCTTCGCAGAATAGCGAGGTTTCTTCTAATGCTACTTTACTACGACTTCATGACAATGTGAATTAAAAGGCAGAGAAACATGACAGATCAAATACTAGTGTTAATATAAAATCAACAGCCACAAACCAGACAGCTGCAGCTCTTGCTGGCTTAACATTTGATATTTAACACCTTGGTTTCTTTACACAATGGTTTCCATGATCTGTTTCAAGTATCACTGATGGAGCTCATTTCAACTGGGACTCGCGCTCGGGCTTTATCTCTGAACTGCCGATGTCGGAGGAATTTGGAAGTGACTAAGAGAACACTTTGTCTGTTAGGCAACAGCTCCCAGCAGGAATGCAAAAATACCCGCTCTGAGCGTTTAGGTCGGAGATATACTTGCAGCGGACACACGCACATTATGTATGCAGAAACCTTCACTGACCTACAATCCAGAGATCTTCATAACTGCTGAGGTTGCTGGAAGAGGAAATTTAATAAATCCCAGGAGACGAGGATGAAAGTAAGTAAGTGCCTGATAGCCCTCTATGCAAACCTCTGTCTGTCTGATCCCAGAGCAGGTCTGGTTTAATATTAACAGGCTCTGCATAATGCAGCTGATCTGGAAGCTTCTGCTTATCTATATTCTTCTCTCCATCAAACTCTAAGCTCAGATGGCTGAAAAACATTCAAGTTTTATTTGAAAAAAATATATATTTAACATGGAATGTAGTCAAACATGCCTTTTGATAGTTAAAAGCAGGTTCTTTAAATATTTAAAGTCCTCTGCCAGCAAATGTCAAATCCCCATTGGTGAGGTCACACACTTTGATTCTGGGTCCTTGATTGCATCAACTGCATAAAATTACCCCACCATGTCTGATTTCATCATTCTAATTGCTCCTACTATAATTAGCACCTGCTCCCTGCTGATTAAAACAAACTGACACCTACGAGGTATTAAAAGTTCATCAGCAGCATGAAGACTCAATTTATCTCCTATACTGGCAGTCCTCAGGTTACCAGATCTGTTCCCTTACACTCTTTATAAAGTCGAATTTGTAGTTGTCAGAAAAATAACACAGTACATAACAAAGTAATAGTAAAAGTAACTACATGATATTATTATTATTATTATTATTCTGTACCTCAAGCAGACATATGCTATGTGCATCACAATGTAGTGAGTCCATTCGTTATGAACCATTTTTATTTAACCTGAATTTTTAATAAAATATGCTTTGTGGCAGTCCGTTCATGGGTATGAGTTATCTGTAAGTTGGATGTTCTTAACCCAGGAACCACCACGACTTTCCAATGAATACATAACGCTAACAGTGCAAAACGACTTCAATAACTGTTAGAAGCAACTCCTCCTAAGACGTTCAGTCCCTAAAAGAATCCAGTTTCACAACCGTACGGGTCAGCAGTCAGACTAAACAAAATAGTATCACATGCAAAAGTGAGATATGAACCGTTACGTACATCAAATTCTGCCATGGCAGATAGACACGTCAGACTGTATGGCAGACATTACGTTGCAGATTATTCATCACCATATGTTCCCTTTTAAAATCTTAGTGTGGTGGGTTTGAAAGTCTTTGCTTATATTTACTGATCTGCAGTGAAATACTACAGTGCCAAGAGTCTGGGGTATGTTGCTCCCAGGATTTTTTTAGCCTGTTGTTGTAAGTACTACTAAAGAACAGAAAATAAGAATCAAAATAGATGTGAAAACCTTTTCAAAACCAATTTTGTGTTTTTTATCAAATTGATGACAAAAAAAAAAAAAAACAAAATTTGACATGGATACATGAAGGGGCTGCAGCTACTGTTTGTGTCAGGAAGTTGGATTATAATGATACAAAATGATCTGTGGCTCTGGATGAGGGCAGCACTGCATGTGCAGTGGGTGAGAAGGCTTTACATGTCAGTGGGGCTGCCTGTGATTTACAATCGCTTCTCACACAAAGGGTCAAAGCCAGTGAGCCGGCTGACCAGCCAGGACTGCAGCGGGGGTTGTGTACAAGGATCTGAAGTGTTTCCACACTGACTGATCAGTGATTCCCCCAGGTTTACAGCTTTGGGGGTGGGGGGGGGGGGGGGGGAGCAGATGGACACCGACAGGATTCATGGTGTTCATGTGCTTCTTTTAATGACAGTGGTCAATATAACAACTGAACTAAACATCAGAACATTTCTTTTTATGCAGATATTTTTGTCTGCTTATCAGGTGGTTGACGCGACATTTTCTGATGCTTCTCTGTCCGCTGGTGGGCGTGTGCCACCCGTGTGTCGGGGGGGAACGCCGCCATGCGCGATACAGAGAGCAGAGGAGAATTGTAAACGTGCGACCGTGTAGAGACAAAAATGACAAGCTGTTGTGTAAATAAGATAAATAACATAAGGCTATTTAGTTTGTTTAATAAAAGGACAATGTATAGACCTGTTCTATAGGAAAGGTAACCTTTAATGACTTCTGTTGTGATCTGGCACTATATAGAAAATAAAATGAAATAAAATTAACTTAACCTTCAAGGGGGGGCGGGGCGCCCCCCTAATATAATGGTAGGGGAAACACTGCTGATGCTATCCAGGACTTTGTTCCTCATACAGATTTATATTCTTGTCCTGGCCAGTAATGATTCTGTATCTACCTACATTCATGCACACATCTGTCCACCACTATAATGTGCAAGTGGAAATGGTGAATCAGGAAGACTGACCTCTGATCCACTGAATGGTATGACCTTTAAAAACACTCTTTACCAGGGGCATCATTAGACGTATTTTAGGGTGGCTTTAGCCCCCCCAAATATGGACTCATTGGCTTTAATCCACGAATAGCTTGCCACTGCCCCCCCCCCAGTGAAGACTCTGCCGCTCTATCCATTCATCTCTAACTGTGCCCCTGCTCTTTACCTCTTCAAATCAGAAAGTAGAACATTAATAAGACAGTCACTAACAAATTATAATATCTCAGTTTCTTCATGGGCCGACATTTTAATCCCGAATCACTGACTGCTACTTTCTGGTCCCCTGCATCGCTCCAGCATGTTGCTTTTTCTCGGGTTTTCACAGACAGGCTCCTGAGACCAGTGCTCTCTCACAATGGTGTTTGTTCACTCCTCTCTGACCCCTCTAACAAAGCTGCCACTGCTCACAGGAAAATGTCATTAACATTCAAGTTCTGTGCAGATCTCTTGTGCTGGATGTGGTATCATGGCTTCGCTTTATCATTTACCTTCAGTCTTTAAGGCGGCTCCTGCTTCAATCGGGATGACAAGCAAGGGGAAAATCCCACTGAGCCCCACCACAATAGATCCAATGAGGGAACAGATAAAAGCATCTCCCCTCTCCCCGCAAAAGAGGTCCAACAGCACCTGTAGACCCAGCAACTCCTCGGTAGACCAGGGACCCGCCACCGCCTGCACCACAGTGGCCTGGGACATCTTCCTGGCGTTGGATTGGTGGCTAGACGCCGTTGTTGAAATGAAAAAAAGGGCAGCGCTGCTGAGCAACACAGCTGTACCCCAAGCTGGGCTCCAGGCCCGAAGCTTCATGGCTGCTTCACCATGCCCACCACTTGCAGCTGACGCAGAAAGGACACTGCAATGGCAGAAGAGCATGCATCAGTCAGAGTCAACTTCAAATTACAGAGACGTGAGGACTGTATTCAGATCAACACTAAACCTTCCTGTCTAACTCAAGTAAAATAGTACAGAGTTAGGCCCATCAACAATGTCATGTTTTGTCAAGATCAGCATTAAAAAGAACAATTTTGCAAACTGAAATTTTGCAGATAACCCCTGAAGAATGATGTGTGCAACTTTTTATGTTTAATGGAAATTCTTTCCTGCACATCATGACCCTGCATAGGACAAGTGGGTATAGAAAACGAGCGGATGGATGGACGGATGGGTTTAAATACTTGTCCATCAAACAGGCACTCTTCCCAGTAGTGCACCTGGGACTGCAATATGCATACCAGGACAGACACACTTTGACACCTGTGTGTCTCACCTGCTCCATCACTCATTATCATATTTCTGGCCTTTTACTGTAGATTTGCTCAGGTAGTAATATGCTGAGTACAAAGGGAGCCCACTGGAACACTAACCCTAAGCACCTCCTAGATGGTACTAGTGCCCCCCCACCCCAATTACAGAGCTCGGTTAAACTCTGCCTCCCTTGTTTCTGCTTTGTCACATTTCCTTGTTGTGGTAAACATGTACACAAATAATAATAATAATAATAAACAGTAAATTAATGATTATTATTATTATTATTTAAAAAAAAAACAGTTTTTAAATGATTACAAAAAGCGTATACTGAACATTACACTAAATTAAGCGGTTTCTTAAATTACTAATAAGTCGATTTGTTTTAGGACGCAGGTAACGGGTACAAACAACTGCAGTCCACAAGTTTCCAAAAAAGTGCCACACCTGTACTTAACCCTCGATATTAATACTATGTTAAATACCATGCAAAATAATTCACTTTAACGTTTTCTGCATTAATTAGCAATATTTTTCTACTTCACAAGATCATAAAGCAAAATGTATGTTCAAAAGTGCAAGCGTTATTTCCCTCAGAGTTTACCCTTAAATAGGTGAATTTCAAGGTGTCTTACCATAATGTACCACCTATTTTCTTATGACGATTATACTAAATAATGATGAGTTTGTTAAACTTATTTTTCAGTGAAAGATTTAGTTATCCGAAACACGCTGGATTGTATCAGTAGAACATATGCAAACATATAAAGTTATTGAACAAAACACGTGTTAACTTAGTCAAAAATATTCAAATAATGCAATCCTGAACACTTCATTATCGGGAAAAGATTAATTCACCATACTTGTAATCCCGAGGTTTTTGCTCCAGACTATCCCTGCCATCCAGCTCCGTACTCCGCCGCGGCTAAACTGATGCGGCAGCTGCAGGGGAACCACCTCCTCCGGAGGCCACGTCTCACGACAGGAACCAAACTTCCTTACAGTCACACGAACCGAATAAAAGGGAGCACTTCCGGTCGGTGCCGTCATCACGTGGGCCGAGTCTAGTGACCGGCAGTCTGGTCTCGTAGTGACCGCCCTCCCTCGGGCAGTTTGAACGTAATTCTGCTGGCTACTTTTTGATCAAATTGTCCCAATTGTCCCAATACCCTGAAATTGTCGGTAATTGTAGCAAAACGTATGTCTTTCCAATGCCCTTCTAACATTGCATCGCAAAATTTGTAATTATATACGATAATTACACGCTCAATAGAACAATAAGATATTGTCACTGTACGAGTACAATGAGATGGCGTTTGGATCGTTCTGTAGAAGCCTCAATAAAGACTCGAAGCTAAAAAAGTTTAAGAATATAGAATAATATAACATAATAATCACAGTGTAATAACCGTATTATTGAACCGTATTATTTATTTAGTTCCATATTCGTTTCTATCATCAGTGTCAAACGTGTTAACAATCATTTTGTTTTCTGAGTTAAAGTTTTTACGTCATTCCAAAAATAAACATTTATAAAATTAAATAAATTATGTTTAATTTATGTGCATATAGTTCGTTCTTGTTTCTTACATTCAAAAATGTAACTGGTATTTGACATGGTTTCGTTCAGTTGTAGCCTATTTGTTGGTAGATGTCCTTGCCACTTAAAAGAACCTGAACACAAACTGGGCTAAATTTGATCTTAATGTAGTAGAAATTATACAAAGCCTTCATTCTTTTTTCATAATAGTCTGTAATTTGAAACAATTACTAAAATTGGTCAAAGTGACCATTGTATTATTTGTTTACCATTTTTGTCCCTGTTTTATTGTTTAGCCCAAAGGTCACAGTTAGTTTTCTCTTTTTACTGAATAAACATACCCTACAGTCTTCGTCATTCTGGCCTGTTTTCAAGCAGGTAACTCATATTGGTAAATAAGGAACAGAGTGACTTGCATAAGTACTCAACCTCCCCAGATTCCGTACTTAGTAGAGCCTCCTTTTCCTGAAATTAAAGCTGGAAGGCTTTTATTTTAAGTCTGCCCCAGCTTTGTACATCTGGATCTTGCAATATATGTCAGTTTTCCTTGGCGAAATTGATTAAATCCTAGCAGGTAGAATGGGGAATATCGGTGATCATGCATTGCTACCTATGAATCAAGTCATGTCACTGATTTTCAGTCGAATTGAACCCTGGGCTTTGACTATAGGTCATTCTTAGACATTCAGGTCCCTGGTTTTAAACCATTCAAGTGTAGTTTTGGGTGCACGTTTAGGGTTATCGTCCTGCTGGAAGGTGAACTTATATCCCAGTCTTAGGTCTGTTGCCCCTCTAGAACTGCTTGTACAGTATGTTGCTCTATCCACTCCATGGTGATGAAAAGCATCCCTACTACATGATGCTGCCACAACTGTGGGCATATGGCATTTTCAAAAACCTTTTCCCACATATTTGCTGTGTGTTCCACATGCTCCTTATGGGATTCTTTATGTTTTTTTTCAGCAATTGATCCACACTTCTCACCACTATTGCAGAAAAAACAGCTTCCTACGTAGTAGCTGAGCCTCTGTGCCTGTGAATTAAATGTCCAAGAGTGATAGCTAAGGGTGCCATCTGAGTGGGAAAAAGTGTTCATGTAAACTTTAAAAGTTCCATCAGAACAGCCACACCATTGAAAAGCTTAATGTTTGGTTTATTAAAAGTAAGGAACAAGGAAAAGTTTGCAAAACATAGTGAGTTGAGATCCCACACTACGATATTCCGTTTGAAATTTTACCCTCACCACCATGCAAAAAAAAAAAATCACAATTAGAAGCCTTTGTCTCTAATTCCACTTCGTTGGGTGAAAGCATTAAGAGGACAGCTGTTCGTGGCTAATTTCATCTGGTATTTCAGCCTTATCTACAGTATTTATCTCATTTACATTTTAATTGCTTCCTTTTTATGAAGTATCCAAGATACACAGTTTATTGAATCTCAGCTGTGGTTCCCTCCTGCTCCATCAGGTACCACTGGCCTCCTGGTTGCTTCTCTGACTGATGGCCTCCTTACCTGGTCACTGATGTTTTGTGCATGGTCTTCTCTTGGCAGGATTACTGCTCTGCCATATTCTTTCCATTTCTTTAAATAATGGATTTAACGGTGCTCTGAGGGTTGCTCAGCTTTTTTTGCAACCCTGCAGCACTGACTAGTTCTTCTCCAGAACATAATCCTAAGCTTCTTTTGATAGCACTAAGGCTTTTATGATTCTATTTGTTTAGATATGTTCTCCAACAAACTTTGGGACACTTCAGTTGCACCCAGGTAGACTCCATTCATATACCTAAATATGTAACATTTGGTTGTACCAGGAGGTTTAAGGGTAAATACTTGCGCAATGACAACTTTGTTATTAGTTTTTGCTTGTTAGTTTTCTATCTGTAAATAACTATATATATTTTAAACTATGTATTTTTTATTGTACGGAATATTTTGAAGACCCATGACATTAAACTTTGATGAAAATGATTGTGGCTGTAACACAGAGGTGGCCAATCTAATCTGCAAAGGGTCAGTGCAATTGCAGGTTTTTGGGATAACCTGTAGGTCAGCAGATCAAATCCAAGTGCAAGAACTCGTCAGCCAATCACTCCTCTAATCAGTAATCTGATTAGGGAGTTGCTGTGAAAACCGGCATACACAACGGCCCTTTCTGGGTAAGATTGGCCACCCCTGCTGTAACACTACAAAATGTAAAAAAGTACAGGGTGGTGAATACCAATGAAAGGTACTGTATACAGAAAGAATCCTAAACATTGTAGAATTTTACAACCTGCAACATCTCACACTCACTCACCAAAACAAAGTCATAGCTTTGCCAGGTAATTCGGCTAAAGCTATCACAGACATCATCCACCCCATGCTATGTCCATGAATCAGATGAACACTGGTCATGTCTCTACAGCAACCTGAATCAATAATGTAAAAGGTGATGCTAACCGCAGGGAATATCTCCGCTCACCTGACTAATACTCCACAAAATGACACTGTAGAAGAATACATTTAAATTTTACTAACTTCATCAGAGACTGAGAAATCAAGGCTTATGTAGACAGTAGCTTTTTGTCTAACTTTAACAATGATCCATCCACTTTGTGGCTGTTTATTATGGTCAAGATCATGGGCGACCTGGATCGTATCCCTGGTGAAATAGCTGGGGTACATTCTGGATGGGATGCCAGCCTATCACAGGAAACATACAGTATATATGCACATCACAGGCAGATTGGTGATGCCAGCTGCATGCAACTAAATGCATGTGTAATAAACTTTGAAAGCCTGAACCTACAGGCTAATACTGTGTTAGAGTAATACACATTAACCTTTTCTGCATTCAAAAGCAACATTTTTCCATTTTACAAGATCATAAAGCAAAATGTATGTTAATAAATATCAGAGTAATTTCCCTCAGAGTTTACCCTTCAATACATGAATTATCACATTGTACACATTCAAATTGTCTTATAATAGTGTAGCATCTGCTATATTATAATGATGATCCTTCCATTTTTGAGCCATTTATCAGGGTCAGGATAGTGGGGGCCCTGGGCCCTATACCAGATGACACAGGGCGGGGGGCCCTATACCAGATGACACAGGGCGGGGGTACATTCTGGATGTGCTTTGCGGTAACAGTGCTACCCAGAGCGACCATGCTACCCCTCTGAAAAGAAGAGGAACCAATTTAATCAGATAATGAAGTCAGCTGTAAAAAGAAAGGTAAGACTAAACTTTTGAAAGGGAAGAGCAATGGTTGTGTTTCTGCTAAAAGAAAACCTACAAGCACAAGCCATACACCACATCAAAGAGGCAAGGATCATTCATCTTCACCTCAGACAGGATCTCATAAATACACTGAATTTACTAAACGGCTAGAGACATTTCCGTCAAAGAACGCTACGTCATTCTGGGAACCCGCAGTGTCCTCACATTGGCTGCTGGACTGTGTTGGTTCTGTCTGGAAAACTGTAGACTGTATTGTGCCAAATGCATAGGAGATCAGATTTTTAATAACAAATTCCAGGCGACCTGCTGCTTGCACAACAGGTAGAGCTGATGAATGTGGGACTGATGCTTATTTTAAATGTAAAGCACTTTGGTCAACATCGTTGTTTTTAAATGTGATATATAAATAAATTTGATTTGATTTTCAGATAAAAGTCTGTGAAGAAATGCAAGGCTGCCATGTATCTGCCATGTGTTTCTTTCTGAGCTACAAGAAGGACTTACAAATGCACTGCCATAAAGCCTGATTTTAAAGAAAAGTTAAATACAATGGTTTGTAATAATGAATGCAAGCACTACTTTGTGATGCTTATGAAAACATTGCGTGGCTTCAGCAATTATTATTATTATTATGTACTGTATTAGTATTCTTCTGATTTACCTACAAATTCTACTTAAAGACAGACTTAGGGAACAGTAACTTGGTGACTGCCTGTACATGCTTGTATTGTACAGCATTTTTATGGAAAATAGGCATATATGCTTTGGGGGGACTGAGACCCATTCATTATTGTCTGCATTTTTTCAGATAACAACACACAAATTCAGTACTTCAGTGGGAAAAGTAGCAGGCAAACATAAACTAGAGACCTAAAGACACAGATACCTTTTATTACTGGTAAACAGCTCAGATAAATATTGAAGGCAGATTGAAAGCCCAGAAAGAATACGCTAAAGCCCAGTAAGGACGCACAGCACAATAAAAAGAGGGAAGAAGAGGAAACCAAAAATGTTTGTAGTGGACATTGCAGAACGGAAGGCACACAAGTGCCCCGTAAATTCCACATGAAGGCAGCAGCTCTAGCATGTTGGTTGCCGGAGTAGTTGTATAATTCACTTCTGCCAGGGAAAATTTAGTGTGATACAATCCTGTTGTCCGCCACATGGTGGAGCATTTGATTTGTGAGATAAGAAACAAGTTTCTACAGTATGTGATGTATTTTAGAAACATAGTCAA